AAGCCATCCATGATCCACTCCCTGATTCTCAACCTCAGCCTGGCTGATCTCTCTCTCTTGCTGTTTTCTGCACCTGTCCGAGCTACAGCATACTCCAGAGGTGTTTGGGATCTAGGCTGGTTTGTCTGCAAGTCCTCTGACTGGTTCATCCACACGTGCATGGCAGCCAAGAGCCTGACGATCGTTGCAGTGGCCAAGGTATGCTTCATGTATGCATGTGACCCAGCCAAACCAGTCAGTATCCACAACTGCACCATCTGGTCAGTGCTGGCGGCCATTTGGGCTGTGGCGAGCCTGCTACCCCTGCCAGAATGGTTCTTCAGCACCACCAGGCATCACGCAGGTGTGGAAATGTGCCTCGTGGATGTGCCCGCTGTGGCACAAGCGTTCACGTCAATGTTTGGTAAGCTCTACCCGCTCCTAGCATTTTGCCTCCCGTTACTCTCTGCCAGCTTTTATTTCTGGAGAGCTTATGGCCAATGTCAGAAACGAGGAACTAAGACTCAAAATCTTAGAAACCAGATGCGCTCAAAGCAACTTACAGTGATGCTGTTGAGCATTGCCATCACCTCTGCTATCCTGTGGCTTCCTGAATGGATAGGCTGGCTGTGGATGTGGCATCTGAAGGCTGGAGGCCCGACCCCACCACAAGGTTTTATAGCCCTGTCTGAAGTCCTCATGTTTTCCATCTCTTCAGCAAATCCTCTCATTTTTCTAGTGATGTCAGAGGAGTTCAAGCAAGGCTTGAAAGGCATATGGAAATGGATGGTAACCAGAAAACATCCACCTGCTTCACAGTCTCAGGAGACACCAGCTGGTAACTCCCAGGTCCTTAGTGACAGTGCTCCATCTCTAGAATCCCCACCATCCATGTCAGAGAAAGAGAAAACTGGCTCTCCTTCCTTCAGCAAAGAGAAAGCCAAGACGACAGAGATTCCCATCCTCCCTGATGTCGAGCAGTTTTGGCATGACAGAGACGCAGCCCCTTGTGTACAGGACAATGACCCTATCCCCTGGGAACATGATCAAGAGACAGGAGACCGTGAAAAATAGTTTCAAAGCAAAACAAATTGTGGTTATTGTATTTATTTATAATGCTGCTTATCAGTACCGTTGACTTTGCCATATGAAACATAGAATACCATTAGGAATTACAAAAATGCTTTGCAGTCTGCATTTGCAAAATGTACAATTTGGTAAGTAGGACATCATATTAGAATAACTATGTTATCATCTGGCTGTCAAAGATTTAACTGCTGTATTTAAGATGCTTCTGTCACAAGTGATTAGAAACGCCAGCTTTTTTCACTTTTCTGCAGTGGCTGTTTCCCGGGGTAGTCTGTAGGGCCAGCTGTGTACTGGCTGGAGTAGAGCTCATCTGTCAGAGGCGCGGTCTCCTTCCTTTTAGTTTCTTCCTGAACCTGCTAACTTTACCCATCAAACCTTATTTCACATAACCAGAGCTCAAAATCTACTTCTAAGAGATCTAACATGTAAACTTTGTTATCTTCATTTGTTTTAGGAATGTTAATTTACTTGATGAAAATTCATAATTTCCATGACTGAATGTTGCAGAATAAGGAATGTCCTTATTCTGAGCTAATTTCAAAACATGGCTTATTTTACAGGCAAAGTCTAAGTAAATTCAGACTGCCTCATACAAAAATCTGCTTCATAATAAAAATAAATGAAAAAAAAAAAATCTGCTTCACTGATATTTTAAAGCACCTCAGTGAGTTTCCAGTTTCTAAGTCTGGGGATTTTAGCAGTTAACACTGAACTTAAGCAGTAAAATTAAATTTGTGCTTCCAAATATATTACCAGTATAATTTGAGTAACAAGCAATAACTGTTAAATGTATAGCATGATGAAACACACCCAATAAAACAATTGATATATGTCTTCCCCTATTAAATATAAAAAAAGATATTTGTCCATGATTTTTGGTTACTCTGTAATGGAATTCTGGGATATTTTCACTGAGGGGTTCTCTCTGGAGAAAACAAAACTGCATTTAGGCTAAGCAATAGAGAAAATATAAAAACATGCTGTGGATAGAATTTTTTAATGTATAGTCTGTGGCTTTGTTTATTCTTTATAAATGGTCATGATTTACTTTTTTAACACAGATGATAGGGCTTTTTCCCTTGGTTCATAACACACTTCATTTTAAGGCTCACAAGAGCACATTTAACTACAATAAACACAGGTATCTAAAATACTGTCTTGTGAGGCAATGGTAATATAATGGGATTACCTTTAAAACTGTGATGAACTATCTGAATTAAAGACTTGTGATCATTATCTATAGTAAATGGAGGGTGTAAGCTTTCACTATTTGACATTTCAACTTGTAAACAAATAAAAACATCATGTTTTGCTTCAGAAAGTTTTGGAGACTTAAAAGCTTTGTCTTGAATGCTGCTTTCAAAATTACCATTTAGCACATGGGGGCTTTACAGGAAGGTGAGACCTTAACACTGGCACAGGTATCAGAAAGCAAGGAATCATGTATTCTTAAAAAGTTTGCTGATAAGCACCAAATCAAAATGAAGATACTGAAACACAATGTAACTACAATGACCCTGTCATTAAGAACCTAATGGGGGTGTGTGTGTGTGGTAAATTATGAGTTTAGGTATAACATACACACATTACTAATAAAGAGATAAACAAGGACTTACTGTATAGCACAGGGAATTATCCTTGTTATCTTGTAATAACCTATAGGGAAAAGAACCTGAAAAAGGATATGTATATATACAACTGAATCACTGTGTTGTAACCTGATACTAACCTGATACTCCAAATCAACTGTATTTCAATTTAAAAAAAATCCTAATATACAAAGTCTTGACTTGCCCCCTTAAAGAAATCTGCATAGAAAAGTTGGATTTATACCATATGTGAAAAGTTAATTCCAAGTATTTTACAGCAAAAGTAGGAAACTAAAATAGGTATCATCAAATCATTTTCTTCAGTTTTCTACAGTGAGAAACAGAGCATATTGAGCAGACAAACAATATTATGTGGATTTCAGAGTAACAAAACATTCTAGAAACTTTACCTTTGTAAGACAGTCTTAATTCTATAATAGTTGTTTCTTTTGTCACACATTTTCAGTTTCACTTCAGACTTCAAAGTCACTCAATGGATTTACATAAAAATCCCATTAATTACCAATTTTATAGGTTAAAATTGTAGATAACCCATTCCGGGTTTCTGCATACAGAAAGAAAGAGAAGTCGCTCAGTCGTGTCCGACTCTTTGCAACCCCACTGACTGTAGCCCACTAGGCTCCTCCGTCCATGGGATTTCCCAGGCAAGAGTACTGGAGTGGGTTGCCATTTCCTTCTCCTGGGGATCTTCCTGACCCAGGGATCAAACCCACATCTCCTGCATTGCAGACAGATGCTTTACCATCTGAGCCACTACGGAAGCCAACTCTACATATAGAGTCCACATAATTTCTGTGGCGCTTAATATATTTAAGCTAAGCACTATATCACAGAGATGTGACTGTGTTTTTGTATGTGTGTGATGCGTGCCTGGGTCTTTATGCATATAAAACATACTTATTACCGTCCCTTTTTAAGGTTTTGTTGCATTGTAGAAGGTGCGAGATAACAGGGAAAATAAATTATCCTATTAACATATTTTTTCTTCAACATTTTATTTATGGTGGTGATTCAAACTAGAAATCTACGAAGGAATGAAATAGAGATCTTTCTAAACTGTAGAGGTAAAGCTAGACAGAGTAACTGGGAATCAAAGTTAAGTTTCATGGTATGATGCACTCAACACACTGAAAGAAATCCAAAAAGGCATTCATCAATGTTAATATAAAAGATGAGAACAAGAAAACAGACAAACAAAAATCAGCATCTTCTTGCTATGAAGCAATAAGATATTGCTAAGAGACTGAGCACCAAAATGGTTCTTTACAAATTTCTTCCCTTTTATGGTAAGAGTAATTTATTATATTCAAGCCTTTTAAAATGACGTGATACTCAAGATTCAAACCTTCTTTGCGCCAAATTACATTTGCTGCTGCTTTTAAGAACAGGTTTAAAAGAAGTATTTATACATTATATAACAATAATCATATACAATCCACATATATAAAAAGGGTTGGTTTATTGTAGTTCAAATACATAAACTGAACATTCAAACATCTTAAAATTAAACTTTAGAAACAGAAAATTAACATTCAAATAGGAGTATAGTTTACAAGGAACATCCAAGGAAGGTAATTTGTTGTCTAATCCAGAATATTGATAAAGATCACTCAATGGTGAATAAAATGTGTTTAACCAGCAATCCTAGTCTGGCCAACATGTTAGTTATGACTGTGACTCCATACCTGAGAAGAAATTACTAAATAAATCTTCTCTTAGGCTAAACAACAAGACTTGGCCTATAATTCAAAGGGGATAATCAAAGCACATAAGTGAACAAATGAAACTAAAGTATTCTTTAGAGACAAAGGTCAAAGTATGTCCATTATAATAATCTTAGCCTCTGGAAGATAAGAATTCAATTTTCAGTGTTTTTTTCTTTTACCCGCTTTAAAAAACAAAATCAAAACAAAACAAACCCTAGCTTAGGTTTTTTTTTTTTGGGAATCTGTGGTATTTGCATCTTGCAAGTTCAAACCACAAATGCTCTTACGTCTTGCATGTATTATAACACTGCTAGAAAGAACATCACCAAAAGTCACTGACTTCCACATCTCATAAAAGGATGATTTTTTATCTTCAAGATTTTAGATTTACTAGAGACAGCCTATATTTGAGTATGTAAGTCAGTCATGCCATACAAAGAAAAGCATAAATATTTCCAAAGTGTTCTCTGTTCAGAAACTGTTCACGGATGCTTCTCCTTCTGCTCATCAGATGGTTCTGCAATAGTCTGACTAATGCACATACATGTAAAAACCTGAAAACTGGCTCATGCAAGCGTTTTGAATGAACAGACACCCTGTGGAAGAGTATTCCAAGTTATTTTGTTGATCGTCTTGTGGGCTCTGACGCTGTGGGAGGTGGGGGTGGACCCCGGCGATCCAGGTCATCCACATACGCCACAATCAGTTTACGCCTCTCCTCTGGCACACAGTCTAGTACTAGATACCGTTTGTCGTTCTGCAAAATTTTTTCTACGTCTTTCAGGTGCTGGTCAGATTCCTGGATTAGCTTTTTGGATCTGAAATAAGAAAAGAAGTCCAAGAATTACTTACTGCTGTTCATAGGTCTTTCAGTAATGAGCTGGAAATGTCCATCTAGTTCCTAATTGTGTTTCCATTTTTTTTTTTTTTTAAAGAAAAATTTCACTGCAGTGGTCACCTTTGTAAGTCGCCTCAGCAAAGACTCCAAGGAGTGAAAGGGCCTCAGAAGCTGAATTACCCTCCCACCCCTGCTGGTGGTCCCTCCAGATCAGGGCTGAGGGTGGGTGGGTAACCTTGCCCGTGCTGTACCTGTTCTGTGGATGAACAGAGGACTTCAGTCTGCGGGGCTGCCAATCCCAGCATCTTTCACAAGCTTTTTCACTTTCACATCTTTCACTAAATTAACTACAAAAATGTAGAAAGAAGTCTTACTTCACATCTAATTTAAAAGCCCAAGCTGATGCAAAACATTAAGGATCCTGACCAAAAAATCCAATGACAAAATCCTAAAAACCACACCCTCAGCACTATCTATCCTCCCGTGCATACCCTTCATTAAGATGTTTCAAATTTTTCTCTTAAAAGAAGAAAAGTTGGAGCATGAAACAAAAAATAGTTTCCTGCACACTGACTGCTAAGCAATATAAAAACTGTTTTCCCGATGACAACTTGTTAGGGGGTGGGGAACTACTGGGTATGTTACAGCGAGATCTTGTTTTAAAGTGCTGATTTTATAGTTTTGAAGTTTTAATTCAAAAGTATCCAGCAAACTGCTTTCATCTGAGAAAAAATGCATTTGCTGAGTTTAAATAGGATGAGTTAAAGCTTTAGAATGAACACACTAAATATTTAGTCTTCAGAGGAGGCAAAGATAATTGACAGTGAAAGATTTTTTTTTTTAAGTCTTTTCATGAAATACAACTTTTATATATTTGAAAATACTTCTGAAAAAGCAGTGAAGTAAAAACAAAAGAGTGTTTAAAAAACAGATGGGTGGGTAACGCAAAATAAGAATTAACATCTGGGCCCTTTCTTAAAAAAAAGAAAAAAAAGAAAAAAAAAACGGTAGATATGGGCTGTACTCAGCCTTTGAGAAAAGTTGGCTTCTTCTTATTCCTAAAAATTAACAATGTCAACATGTGTGTGAATGCAAAGTATGCTTGGCCATCAGAGTAGGACTAGTAAAGACAATGATTGGCGATATGAAACATTTCATTGCACATACCTATATGTTATAAATTTGGTCTCTTTCAAAAGCGTCCTGAAGTCAGCTTTGGCTGTGATGTATTTGTCTCTGATGTATTCTTCAAACTCTCTTTGTTTTTTCTGCAAAAAGACAGTAAGATTAGGGGGAAAATTCCACTAATTCCAAAATTATTGTCAATTATGTATTAAACTAATGACCGGTAAGTCACAACATAAAATAATACAAAAAAAAAAGCAGTAAGACACATTTCTATTCATGCAACATTTTAATGAATGTAAAATCTGCAGCGTACATTTTAAAGGTAAAAAGCAAGAATAAGAAGCCATGTATTAGTAGCAGCTAATATACGGTTTATGTTATAACTATATATTGGGGGCTTGCTACGTGCTGCACTATGCTGAGGCTTTTATAAAATATCTCCTTTACCCTTCATCACAACTTCACGTGGTAGACACTCTAAGTTCAACTGAGCATTTAGCTCAGTAAGAGAGCTTAGTAAGGGATCAGCAAAGACACAGAGAAACTCCGAGCTTTAAAAAGACATTATTAATTCTAAACCATTAGAAAAAGTTAAGAGACTGACTTCATGGATCTCTCAGCTACCCATCTACCACTCTTTTCCAACCATGTATATTTTGTGGTCCATACATCTAAAATTTAATGGAGCAGGAGGGGAAAGAATATTAGATCATGGGCTTTTTAAACTCAAAACCAACCAGGATGGAGAATGATGGGAAGAAGAAAACTAAAGGCCAAGGGACAAAATGGATGGGAATAAGCTACACTTTCCTTGACATCATTCACTAATAAAGAGCCCTGTGAGTTTTTTTCCTACACAGGAGTCAGAGTGCACCAGAATAGGGCTTCTACAAGGTTCACACAGCTGAGGTTCCCCTACTCCAAAGTCTCTGGGACATTAAGAACTAGAGATCATGTTTCGTTTTGCTGCTAGCATGGTTGTAAGGGTTAAGCACTTTTGGTAGCCTAGCACCAACTGTCAGCCTGAATATATCTAGGGGGACCTGACTATACAATAAATAAAAACTACAGCTTCATTAAATCTCTTAGAAGATCCCAAAACACAGGTTTAAACCCAAGGATTAAAATTTTAAAGTGCCTCTTGTGTTGTCTTGCTAATATATCATACAAGAAAAAAAATATAAACTTAAAACTCAAGATTTATTTCTCATACATTTAAAATTATTCACTTAAAACCATCAACTTCATTTTAGTCAAGATACTAGTGTTGCTGATTAAGCACCCAATTAATATTTATAAACAAATTAAATCTCATACAAAATTTTCTTACCCTGTCACTGGAGGAGAATTTAATGCACCGAGGATCTTCCTTAATGATTTTTTTTACTTCTTTCCATGTGGATGTTAAGGTAATCTTTGAAAGACAAGTGAATAAAAAAAATAGAATTGACTTCTTGAGGGGTGATATTGCAGCACATGCATACATCATATCACACAATGATCTGCAATCTCTTGTTAGGCCCAAGTGTAATGGGACTAGTGACAGAGAGGAAGGCAGCTTTAATGCAATTTCTTTTTGTTGGCTTGCCACAAGTTATTTTCATGGCCATACTGTCAAGTCAAAGTGACCTATGACAATTAACTGCAAACCCTGTATGTCCGTGGGCAATATCAAAACTGCTGAAGAAACCACCACCGAAAAGAGGTCAAAGAGGAAAAACCTGCAGAGAGCACAAACTGCCAAACACGGGGACCAAGGTCCCAAACTGAAAATGTAGCAAAAGAAGGGACCTATCATCAGGAAGCATCAATGATCACACACAGGTAAGAATATCTGGAATTACTCGGGGAGTAGATATGAGCTTGAAAACAGTAAAATGAAGTAAGTTGTAAATAGTAAGAGTATCATTTCATTTAAACAAAAAAAATCAGAGAAGAGCCATAAAACCCATGAACTTCAGTAATGGCTCTAAAGACAATGACATTAAAAATCATATCGATATTTTACTTATAGGAATTATTAACAAAGATTCATCCAGATTAAAGCAGAGAAGTAGAGGACTCTTACTGCAGAAGTTTCATCCAAAAGTTGCCTAAAGTGCTCCCTCTTCTTTTTGGTAAGTGCTTCAATGTGTTCATTAAAAAGCTTCTCTTTCTCCTCTCTTTCCAACAAGGATCCAGATTCCCAGCGGTGATCTTTCCGTAGAGTTCTCCGAGTATCAGACCAGGACACATCTGAAGAACGTACCTAAAAACGCAGAATGCTATCTATCACCCAAGACAGACTTATCTTTTTATATTTTGTCAATAAAAGACTCATTTATTTTGTTTAGGAACAATACACTTAATAAAAGAAGCTCCTGATGATTCCACCTGAGCGAAGCAGTCACTGAAAATCTACTTCTTTAAAACCAGAAATCTCATCTCCCAGAGCACATCTAAGCTATACAGTATGGGCTGAGAGGTGAGAAGGATGAAGAGAACTTATCTGCCATAAACCACGGTCCCTAAGAACTTTCAGTACCTAGGTATTTTACTGAAGATCTTACCAACTTCTAGTAGTAGAAATGGATATAAATAAGAGAGGAAATACACGGTCTTACAGCATAAGCAGCTCACCAGACCAAAAAAAAAGGATTTTTTTAAGGTCAAATTGGGACTTAACTATATCCTGGAAGTGACACTTGCACAAACAAGCAGGAATGAACATCATTAAGAAGATAAAAGAACACACAATGTGATAGCTCTGGCTGGGTCAGCAACCAGCAGAAAGGCATGCTTCATGGCATTACAAGTTAAGTCACACTGCTGCCAACACAAAGAAATACAGAATGCTGAAAAGACAAAAAAAGTAATAAAGAAGAAAAATATAAAAATATTTATTTACCCAAAAAACAAGTACCTAAAAACATGTCAAGTGAACACTGAACTTGGCACTGGGAATACAAAATAAAAAAGAACTGCCAGGAGTAGCGAGGACCTTCACCCTCTTCAGCAACAGGGAAAGCGACAAGAATGTGCCTTTTACAAAGATTTCTGTGATTGCAATAAAGAAGATGAATCTGGGGGAAGCAGAGGCAGGGAGAGAAAACAGGAAATAACTGTAACTGCGCAGGAAACAGAAAAAAGGTCACTGAAAACAGACCAGCAGAAGCAGGGGAAGAAATCAGAAGAAGCAACAGAAGTGGTGAGAGGAGCCTTGTTAAAAGAAACAGTAGGAGAGACAGTGACAGGAAAAAGCAAGCAGAACAGCAGGGTGGACTGAGGGCATTCACTGTAGGGACAAAAAGCCCTTCATACCTGAACAACCTGGGTAATACAGGAGGATTTTAAGTCCCATACAAGTGTATGATGATTTAAGATGACTTCATCAAGGACAATTTTTTAAAAGCTCTGAGACTAAAAGATTATGAAATTTTACAAACACAAAACATCAAACTTCTGAAAATATTAAATAACTAGGTTTTCCTATTCTATTGGTGTTAATACCAAGTACTCAATTTTAAAATACTTTATAGGTAACTTACTAAATTACAACTCTCAGAGTCAATTTAAAGAATATTAAAATGTCCACTAATGAGGTAATACAAAAGATTTCTAATAGTACTTTACAGAAAAAGGCAAAACAGTAATATATACCATATCAGACAGAAGAGCCTTGAAATTCTGGATAGCTTCTTCTCGTTTGTGCTGTTCTCTCTCTCGATCTATTTCTTTTGTTTGTTCTGAACGAGCCTTCTGAACCTCTCTTTCTCGTTCTCGAAGGCTTGCCTCAATGCGGGCTTGCCTTTCAAGCTCTTTTTCTTTTTCTGAGTCTAAGTTCTGTAAAAGTAGCAAATACCTTTTTAATGCAATTAACAATTTTACTATTCCATGGTTACCATAAAAGTAAACACAATGGTTACCTTGGCTATTTTTTCAATGTACTGTTTGAAAAGGTCTTCTCTCATGGATGAACTATCCACTGCTTTGTAACGTGGATCACTTTCTACTTTGTCTTTTACTTTGCTCCATCGAGACTGACTGTCCAAGTGATGATTAGATAGTAGTTCAAAGAAATCCGATTTAATCTATATTTCAAAACAGGTGTAAGGTGGGAGGAAAACAATATGCCATGAGAAATTCTTCATAAAGATTTACAACTAGAACAAAGCTCGTGGATTAAAGAATAATTTGTTTAATGCATTTAAAGTGGAATTTAGTTAAAAAAAAGTATCAGAATTGCTCTTTTATGAGAAATTAAAATTCAGGCTTATGAACAAACGGCAAAAATAGCTCAACATCAAGATGGTAAGAATATTTTTTAAAGTAGATTAATACAACTGTTAAAACTAATAGAGGAATTTGGAAACAGCTGCACCCAAACAGCAAGTCTTATCACAAATCTGAAACTTACTGTCAGAAGTGTAAAAACAAAAAATAAACTTTTATATTTTGCTTTAAAAAAGAGCAATGTTTTTACCTTTATATGTTTAAGAAAACTATATAATTTCTATGGTCATAATTAGTCATTTCTAAAACAAACAAACAAAAAAATCTATATTCAGATTTCTTGCACTTTTTAGCTGTTAAACATGTATGCCTTCACCAGAATACGTGTCAATGAAATTAATGTTCTTAACAAATGAAGTACCAAATTAGTAACATTATACTAAAGATATAATATCAATCCTTTAGTGTCAACATATGCAATACTTAAAAAGCCTCTTCCAAATTGTACTTTTTATTTTTTAATATGAGAAGAAGAGAATAAACAAGCATTTGTTTCTACACACTTTGAGGATCCATTTTAAAATTCAGTCTCATTTAGGTTATTGTGTATTGTTACCAGCGAAGACATCTGAGGTAGCTAAATTCATTTCAGCAGAGGATTCTGACCATATCAAGATCCTCTCTTCCCCATACGGATTAAATATGCTGTCTCCCCATCTGACCAAGGGAATGAGAAATTAGGAATGGAAACAGAATTTCCATAGGGGCACAAAATACAATGAATCATTCCTTAGGTCTATTTCAACCCTCTGGTTCTCCCTGTAACTTCATTTCTCCTTAAAGAGGATTAAAAGGGAGGTGGATGTGCTTTTTGGAAAACACTTATAAGGTTGTTAAGAAACAGAGCTTCTGTATTAGAGAACTTTCTAAAAGATAAGAACTATTCAGTGGATTTCTCCACTCACGGAACTGTGCTCTTGACTCTGTTTGGATTAATAAGAAATAACTCATAAACTCAATATTTCTATATAGCAATAAAGGAACTACTTGATGTAATAGAAATGTAACAATTTTTCTGTTCATTTATCTACTTTGTATCTGACACAATGAACATCAAATTCCCAGAAGGCAAGATTTATGTTAATAAAATAGCTAAGCTGCATCAAATAAGAATCTTTCTAACCTATAAAATGTCAATTATCATTAGCAACAATTCAAGACCCTATTGTCCCTATTTCCCTCTCTCTAAAAATGAAAGCATCTTACCAACTAAGCTGTTTAGTTAAGGGAGAAATAGTCTCCTCAGTTAAATGTGTTGTAACAAAAATTGTTTAGCAGCTAATTTGAAAGAGAGGGGAGAGAGAAAAATGCCAACTTTACAACAGGATTAACCCCATTAGGTGCAACTTCAAATCTGTTCCAAAAAATAAATTATTTGAAACACTAATAAAAATTGGTTAGTATAATAATAAAATTATTACCAAACAAACAAAAACTCGAGGGTAGCTACTTTGGTAAACAAAACCGTCCAGTAAAAGTTTTAGGGGCATTTTTTAAATAAAACTACCCATGAAAGTTACATGAAAATGATGACTGCACTCTAGTTTGAAAAATCCCAACTAAAGAGAAAGAATCTCACCAAAAGTCAATATCATTCATGATTCCAATGTATCAGTTTACTATTCAATCATACACAGTTAAAATGCAATTAAAAAATGTACTCCAGGACTTCGCTGGTGGTCCAGTGGTAAGGAATCCTCCTGCTAATGCAAGGAACATGGGTTCAATCCCTGGCCTGGGGAGGTTCCACATGACGTGGGGCAAGGAAGCCTGCAAGGAACAGCTATCAACCCCATGTACCCTAGAGCCTTTGCTCTAAAGAGAAGCCACCGCAACAAAAAGCCCACACGCCACAACTAGAGTAGCCCTCACTTTGCTGAGTCCAGAGAGAGCCCGTGTGCAGCAGTGAAGATCCAGCACAGCCAAAAGTAAATACATGCTAAAAAATTTTTTTTACTGTACTGCCAATATACGTCGTAAGAATATACAGTGGCAGTCATGAAGAGATAAAACTTCATTAGCCAGATACTTCTCAAATTTGAATATAAAATATACACTTAAACCTCTATTTTCAAAATCTAGTTAGTAATTGACTTTGCATTCTTTAAATTGGCTAAGAAAAGTTTCACTTTAGTAATTTCCTGTTTTTCCCTCCACCAATGTAATAGTACAAGGCTAAACCTTTAGAGAATTCAAATTTTACAATCAAAGGAAAACAAAGCTGAATAATTAAGTTTATATAGATGTAGTGTCTATTCAATGTCTTTTTAATTAACACATTCTGGACACAACTCTCATTACTTTATAAGAAAAGAACCCCCCCCCCAAAGTAATGTACCAGAGGCTAAAAGCACCACACAAGTGTAGTGAAGTGTTGCTTATTTGTGTCCGACTCTGTGCGAGCCCATGGACTGCAGCCGGCCAGGCTCCTCTGTTCATGGAATTCTCCAGGCAAGAATACTAGAGTGGGTAGTCATTCCCTTCTCGAGGAAATCTTCCCAACCCAGGGACTGAACCCAAGTCCCCTGCACAGCAGGCAGATTCTTTACCATCTGAGCCACCAGGGAGATGCCAATTCTTTCCTCATCAGAGAATTACATTATCAGTAACTGAACAGCTGTCAGAACGAACTGACTGGCAGGCCACACAGCACAAAATTGTAAAGTCTATTCACTTGTTATAAAACAATACATAAAATAGCTACTGAAAAACATGTTTAGAAAAAGAACATCAGTTACAAATGCGAAACATTCAATTTGTTTAAAACAATCAAATGATATCAGTAAGTTCTTACTAAAAGTCAATCGTAGCAAACAATTCATTGACATGATTCTAATGCAACAGACAAAATGCTTATGTAAAACTCAATCTTCCTCTGAGGAGCACAATCATTTACTCCCAAAAATGTTAATAGTGAAATGATTCTGGAAAAATCTACCATGAAGCATAATAAATCACATAATCAGGAAATTTCAGTTATTTCTGAGAAAAGTTATTTCACCTAATACTGTTGTTATTTTTCAATTAAAGAGGCTTCTTTTCAAGAAGAGTGGTGTTACTTCCATAACAACATTTCTTAATAGAATTTGAAATATTTTAACTCTCTGGAGTAAGAGGGAAATTTAAATGTCAAGAATAATAAAGCTTCAGAGGTTCTTTTTTCTCCATTCAAAAGCACACAGGGTCACTGAGGAGAGCAGCTGCATGTTCTGATGGTTCACGCACCACTGGTGCCACCTCCCTACCAGTCTGCCTCCCCAGTGGTGTGCTCCTCTTCACTCATGACACCGCTATCAAATGACATTTGGAATTCATTAATCTTTAATAGCTGACCTTTAATTCTGATAAGCAATAATTCATATGTAAGATATGTTTACTAAAAGATTAGAAAGTCGCCAAAATGCTATCTTTTAGATGGCAAAAAATATAAAGAAGCTTTTTGAAAAATTTAAACATTACTGCCTATGAAGAACCTTGAAATGTTAGCAGGCAAGCACCAGTGAACGGCCTAATAACCAGTTCTGGATTTAATGGGCATCTTAGAATTAATAAAATATAAAGAAAATCTATGCAGCTTAGTGACACTACTAAATGTGCATTATGGAAGCAGTCAAACATACACATATAAACAACTGTAAAAGTTAACTTTAAAAGCTAGACAGTAAATATGGATCTTGTTATTGGGTTGGCCAAAAAGTCTGTTTGGGTTTTTCCATATATATGATGTTACAGAAAAACCAAATGAACCTTTCAGCCAACTTAATATTTAAGCCCATGAATGAGATTAGAAAGAGCACCAGGTTAGTCCCTTCCCATTCATACCCCCATCAATCACACCACTGGAACTAAACCTTCTTACCTTCTCACCTCTCGTCTTCGAATCTTCTTTCTCTTTCTTCCTTGCAGCTGCCACAAATTCATTAAACAAGGCTTCTCGATCTTTCATCTTTTCAATTGCTTTAAATCTTGAATCTTTAGCATGCTTGGCTGCAAATTCACTAAATGTAGCTCTGTAACAAAATGGCAAGTGTGCTAACTTTGGTAGAGCTATTTCTACTTAAAGAAAGGCACAGATGATATCATCTTCCCATTAAGAGTCTTGTGCCAACAAGACAATGAGTCCCAACATCTACCAACAAAAAGGAGTAAAAGGGCTAAAGACTAAAACTGTGGTTAGAGATCTGTATTACTATCAGCATGATGTTAGGGGGACAGACATCTGAGAGCAAAAAATCTGTGTATTTCAAGAAACTTCAGAGTTCATTTAGTTCTACTCTAAGATGAGACTGACTAACTTCCTGAATTAGCTCTCCCTCCAAAAGCAACTATAAAACCAGACAAAATATATGAGGCAACTGATTTCAAGCACTGGACAACAGGTAGAGTAAAACTGGAGTAAGAAGCCCCATGGCCCTCTGCCTCAGGACAATTTCCCAAAATGCAAACAGCTAGAGTCCAAAAAGAGTACAGCGATCCCCATGAGCTAGAAGCAGCAAAGATCAGAGTTGGGGGTGCTAAAAAAAAATTGGCAGAGGAAGAAGCTATAGAAAGAAGGTACCCCAGAAAAATACCATTTAGAAATTCCCCATGAATAAGTAGACAGCCAAGACCAAGCTATAAAACAGCAGAAAAACTATTCCCTGTACCAAACTGCTACATGCTTAAGAGCAAAAAAGAGACACTAGACACTGAGAAGCGCTGGAAAAGGAACAATAGGAGGACAACAAAATCCGCAAAAGATCCACAGGGAGACAAAGCTGGAAGTTTGACAAAAACAATTCCCACTTTCTGAGATCCACAGTAGCAGCATAAAATCAAACCTAAAATTAAGGTGATCAGCCTGAAATTGAACTGCCTGCTCAAACAACAATCCACATTCTTGAGATGAAAATAACAGTCTCTATTATTCCACAATTTTCAATATTCAATTAAAAATCACAACACATACAAAGAAACATGTGATCCACGGGGGGGGGGAAGACCTTAAGCAATAGAAAGTAACCCAAAATACCCAGATGTTGTTTGAGGTATAGACAAATCTTTTAAACTACTATAATTATATTGGAAGAATTAAATAAAAATATGTTCAAAGAATTTAAACCATGATCTTAATGGATGAACAATTAGGTAGCTTCAGTAGAGATATGGAAAATCAAGTCTATGAGGGACGATGAAACTAAGTATTAAAGAGGTTTCTCCATGAATAAAAGAAGCATTTCTAAAGCTTTCATATGGTTGGATATATTTCAATATCTGAAGCTTTTCACCTTATTGTATATAGTAAGAATTCAAATACTCCCATGTTTAGCTTATTTTTAGAGGTGAAAAATAAAACTTACTTTTCCCTTGAAAAACCATCTATCTCAATACAAAAATAAAACACTTTATCTCATGTATTAAAGTCCAATAAATCTATTTTCTTTCCATGATAAATCAGGTACCCTACTTTATAATTTTAAGAAAAGTATTACTATGATTAAAGAACAAACTTCTTAAAAATGTAAAATCAATGAACAAGTGAGAATTCAATTATTTAATAGATATTTCTATTATTTAAAATAGGTTTAAAAAAAAGGTAGCAAATTTTTTTTTATCAGAACAGACTAAAATTTTAGCATTAGATTCCATAGAGATGTTTTCATGATTCATCTTTTAACTCCAAAAATGCTATTGCAAAGAATTTATCATAGTATTTTGCTACATTATAACAGACATGGTATAAAAGTTCTTCACTGAAAACAGTGAGGTGGATAGTTTTTGGTGATAATGGATGAGAAAGAGTATAATGACTTGAAGTTAACCATAGGAAATACACCAGAAATTTCCAACAAAAAAGAAATAAGACATAGAAGAGACAGTCACTAAGTTAGGTAATTCTTCCCAGTCATTCTTTTCCCTTGGAATAAACTCCAATGCTTTAGAGTTCTGTGCTTGTGGTCTTTTCCCAATTCAAAAAAAGTCTATGGATGGTATTTTCTCAACTTTAAGAAGTTTTTCCTCTTTGTTTCCTACTTACTAAAATGGGTCCTAATCTCTATGACAGTGTCAAATGCATCAATTTAGCAACACAGCCCAATGCCCCAAGTGCTAAGACTTCCAGTTCTGTGCCTGATGGCTTTACTTTCTGATATAACCTGCAAAGTAAAAAGTACTCCAACAATTTTATCTGCCCCAAAAGAATATTAGTAGGGTACTGTGATACAGTAAGATTTAACTTTTCAAATCTACAACAGAGAAATCTCATTGGAGTCTCAATTATTCCCAGATCCATAAAGGATTTTTATGGATATATTTTGCTGAATCATTTGGAAGTAACCTGTAGACATCATGAGATTCCATCAATAAATATTTCAGCATGCATCTCCTGAGAGTAAATCCTTTTTCTACCATAATTACAAAATCCAAGAAAATTACTAATCTCTAATCTCATGTAATACCAATTCAACTACCTTCCAAAAAGTATTTTATAACAGAGTCACAACTACACAGACCCATGAATTTTTAATCTTTTGAGTAAGAAAAACGCCCAAGATCTCCTGGAGAGTCTGAAACTCTATTACCCTTAAACAGTACCATTAAACCCAGAGATTCCATGATTCTACCCCATAGTTTCAGAAATTCTCCATATTCTGGGATATTCATAGCAATTTAAAATACTGGAATCTAGCTGAAATTCCACATTCACTCAGTGAAGTGACCTAATGTGTATAAATCTTACTTTCCTTATTTGTAAAATAGGTAGGATATGAGCACCTAAATCTTATTGGCAGTTTTGAAGACTGAATGTGGTAATACACACATACATATGCATGTTACTTTAACTGCATATATGTGAAAGTTCATATATCTAAAATATCCAATAATTGATGATATTATTATAATCCTAAGCATGTACATTTAAAATATCTCCTTTTCTTCAGCCATTACACATATTCAATATATATTAACAATCAACTGGAAGTGTCGAACAATCATCAACACACTTAGAAATTTTTAAAACGAAAGACCCTACATTACTTCAATTCAATCAAAATAATGTTCATCCTCTGCAATTTATTACGTGTAAATCTTTAAGAAGACAAGAGATTTGTAATCATTCACCAGTTTTAGAGAAAGAAACTTATTCTCAAAGAGAAGTTTTTAAAACAAGGTACCTTCTTGAAAACCAGTGCCTCAGGAACCAGTAAGAGGAATCCTCCAAAGAAAATGTATTAAGAAAGAAGATTCTTGGAAAGCCAGAAATCAATAATCAAACAAGAAGTTTTTCATGTCCCCAAATCCAGAAGATATATATATATATATATATATATATATATATGTTAACTGATCTAGGAGAAAATACATACATGCTTTGATATTTTGACAGTAACAAACCATATACCTCGGATTAAATTTTGCTTCCTCCATCATTTTTTTGAAATCTTCCTTGGCTTGCATTATTTTGTTTTTCTTTTCCCTCCGTTCTTCCTCTGCCCTGGTCTTTACATACTGATCAAATACCTATTACAAAAAAAGCACAAATTGATGTCAGTCTTTCATATTGGTACTCTAAATACCAAACTAGAGAATCTATGAGAAAAAAAAATGCTATGTAAATATCTGTCCCAAAACAGAAGTATGTTAATTATAGGTAACTCAATTATATGCCAATGATCTATAGCAAATCTCAACTTTGAAGTAAGGACACAGTACAGCTATAACAAAGATTTTGAAAAAGCAGTTTAATCACTAGATCCTCCTTGCCAACTTTATGTATCTGGGGCACTCTTGAAACTCAGTAAAAGGCAAGGAGTGATTTTATAAAGCAAGGGTTAGCGAATCACAACCTGTTGGCTGAATCTGGCCTGATGTCTGTTCCTATACAGCCCAAGAATAGTTCTGATATTTTTAAAGGTGGGGGAAAAATAGAAAACTTAATTACACAAAAAACTAAATGAAATTAAAATTTCAGTGTCCGCTCATTCCTTTACATAAATCTACAGGTGTTCTCACACTACAACAGCAGAGTTGCACAATCATGACAGAGACCACATAGCCCACAAAACCTAAAATATTTATTATCTAATCCTTTATGTTAAAATTTTGTTGACCCTTCCTCTAAAAGGCAAAACCGTCTCTGGACTGGGAGAACATAAATTAGGAATAAGGCGTACTAGATTGAGAAAACATACCATGTTATCAAGACACAGTCCTTATCCAGGATCTCACCAGCCTAAAAATGACCTGCTCTAGAGGATCTCAATAAACCAGCTGAAATCGTCCCACAGCAGGGGAGTTTTCAACCTCAGCACTGACCAGACCATGTTCAGAAGCATCCCTGGCTGCCAGATGCCAGCAGCACTCCCTCACTGGGGCAAACTACAATGTCCTCCAGTGTAAAAAAAAAAACCCTGGTTGAGAACCCTGTTCTACAGTAAAGCCAACAATCATAAGAGCCCACCCAGATGCTAAGAGAGCCCAAAGAGCATTTTAGTACCTTGTTCTTAACCATTAGCAGTCAGGATCTACAAAGACATCTAAGCAAACTCTCCAACATGAAAGTCCTTAGGTTGTGGTAGGAAAAGACAGATGGTAAAATAATTTTAGATGAGAGTTCTGAGTGCTACTGAGAGTAATGAAGGCAAAGACGTTAATCAGAAGGCATGTGGGCAAGTATCTGAATATAAATGACTTAGTAAGTTAAGCAAACACCTGGGGGAAGTACACTCCAGGAAGAGGGACTAGTTAAGTACCAGAATATTCCAGTACTGGCCAAGGCATACCAGTGTCAGTGTAGCTAGAATAAATGAACATAAGTCTTGAGAAGTATGCAGAGATGAGTATATAGAGAATCTTACAGGCCATGAAAATTGTATTCTAACTAAAATAGCAAGCAGTGCCCATTTTTCAAGCAACAGAATACTGCCTTAATTTGTCATTTAAATTTCAAGATTAGTCTGGCTGCTATGTGGAAAAAGAACTTGACTACAGAGGACAGAAAAGAATGGAGGAGGCAAGGAGTTCAATTAGGCGCCACAATCAGAGTATTCTGAATTAGGGTTTAGTGAGGGAAATGGTAAATAAGAGGTTGGATTTAGAAAAGGTTTTGGAGGTAGACTGTGCTGATAAGACTTGAAATGCACAGTGGGGAAAGTAAAAAATCAAGGCTAATTTACAGGTTCTGATAGGGCCATCAACTGAGTGAAAATGAGACAATCACACATGAAGAGTTTAAAATAAAAAAGATTATTGTGCATGAAATACAGGTGCAAATACATATGGAAAGTCATGTCTTCCTATTACGAGTCTCAAATACATTTCTGACACAGTGTAAACGTCCTCTTTTCATAAAACGTCTATAATCAGAACTAAATTATTCCAACCATTAAATTACAAATATGGAAGATGGACACTACTACCAAATGAAACTGTTTACCTCAACAGCACTATAGCAAGTGGTTCAACATACTCAACGTTTTACACAGATCAGTGTCAGGGTGGTCCAGGTAATTCAGAAACTATGAAAAGTATTGCAGTGTGCAACATTTCAGAGGAAGCATTCACTGAGATATATGTCACTGAATCACAATGGGAATAAACCGCAGCTCGGTAATAAGGCAACTCTAGTTCTTATAATTCTAGTTCAGCAGAGACCTGAAGTGTCCATTAAATTTATTATGAAAAGACATCCTAACAGTTGCCACTGAAGAGATGTGTGTGTAGAGGGTGTGAAACAAAAACCTGCTGCTGCTGCTAAGTCACTTCAGTCTTGTCTATCTACAACACAGATGCATATATATGCATATGCTGACACACCATAGTTGGGAAGGGTCAAATGTCAAACACTGGAACTATCAGTTGGGAAGAATTGTAGGCAAGTTTTATTCCTTTCTCCTCTTCTGTATTTTGCTATCTTGCTACCTTAAATTTGCATCATTTGCCCAATAAAAATTAATAAATGTACATGAATTGATTTTGAAACCTTGGTATAACATCAGTATATATGAAACATAAGGACAAAATGTTCATGAGGCAAAAGCCATGTCCATAATGGCAAAAATATCCAAGTATTTCTGAGGCAGAAATGACGACACAGAGGGTCACTAAGGTATGAAACGGTTCAATTTAAAAGTTATGCTGGCAAGGGATATACATTTCTTACTGTTATTTTCATTTTACCTGTTTTCTCTCTTTAGGATTGAGCAATAAGTACCGAGGATCAAAAACTATCTTGTGCAACTCCTTCTCCCATGTTGAAAAAGCAGACACCTTTAAAATAAAAAATGTATTGCCTCATAAATTAAGTTGGCTCTAAAAACTGAAAGGTCATATAATTTTGCTTGAAATCTATGGGACGTCTACTTAAAAAGGACACATAATAAAAACCATACTGCAGTTTCCATCACTAATAAATGACAAGCAGTGGGAGGCCAGGCAAAAGCAAATTTCCACACTAATTGGCTCTGAACATCTCTATATTATATAGAAATAACACACTTAATTACTCATTAAAATAACCACTACTGTGTGACATTTTAAAAATCAGTACATCAGAAAAAGCCTTGAAGATTTGCATTTTGATTTCCCAAGCTTGCTCTAATCTTGTGAACAATGTTGTGGTATAAAGTTGAACAATTTTACTTACTCAAGTGAATCTGTGAATATAATCAAAAGGTTGAAATCCCTTCTCAATTAAGCTTCATTAATAGTAATATCATAAAGTACCAGTACTCCTTTAACCAAAAGCCATTCTGTAGATATTAAAAGAATCACATTTACCTTACCTATCCCAGGTAGTCCGCCATTCTGTAATGTTAATACTCGTCATATTACTCACCAAAATTTAATGACCCAATAAATGTTAAATGTTATTTGTACTTAAAAGGATAATAAAATGGCATTTAGTTAAAACATAATATAATTAGCCAAGAAAAACGCTATCTGAAAAAGAGCACAGTGATTTGACAGGCTTCCCTTATCCCGCCCCCACGACATGAGCACTAACCTTAGATTTGACCTTTTAGCAAGACATATTTATATTACTTATACAAAACAGAAATATCTCCCCCAAAGATTGTTTTCTGACCCCTCTCTCTAGCAGCATGTCCTTGAACTGCTTCATTCGGGCCTCCAGAGGGACAATGGCCCTTTCTCGGGCAGCTTTAATTTCAGCTTCCATGGCAGCTTCTTTCTCTGAATCAATGTCTTTATTATCGTCTCTCCTATAAAAAAGAAAATACAGGCATCAACTGACAAAATATTAATAAATAATCTTACTAAAATCTTAAAATCACTGGAATATTCAAGACTCACTACTGAGCAGAATATTTTTGGCAAAAACAAATTATACTGAGCTTTTCAAATCAACTCTAAGGGATAAGCAACTTTCATTATAATAATAAAGTCACAATGAGCTTCTAATGATGTTACAGTGGCTACATTGTTAGGAAAGAAAAATACCTTTAATATGCTGTCTCTCCCTGATACTATTTGATACACAAAATAAACGACCTTACTTAAAAACAAAACTTATCCAATATTGCAATAAAACTCTATGTGTTAGAATCAAACAGCACAGAATATAATTTTTAGTTCTTGAAACGATATAGGAAAAACAGTATTTTCCAAAATGTTTTTACATTATAAATGCATACGATTTTTAATCTAATAAAAATTGGTAAAAGTCTTACTAATCTCAAATATTTATTTTGAAAATAAAATATCTGCAAATTTGGCTAAGTGGATATGTGAGATATATACCTTACCTACCTGACATTTTTTTTACTCACTTTCTGGGTGATAAGTTGAGATTTAAGTTGAAGGACAGGTCCCAGAGAGCAACATAGGCCCCGGAGTAGTTAGGTGGAATTAGAACTGTTCATCAATGACTAAACTACTTCTTGTTTCTCCAAAAATGCACCTCAGGGCTAAGGGCAACCCTGCTGCTGTACAGTACTCAGGTGAGTTTGTGAACATGAAATTAAGTCACCTCTCAAACATCTGCCCTATGAATAAGGCCCATTCATGTCAATAATCAAAAAAAGTAATTCAGTAATGTTCAGGTGTGTTTAAGCAGATCTTCCATCTTAAATTTGATCTGCTTTGTATACAAATAAAATTGGTTCATATTTCCTGCATAAACTTAAGGGAATTAAGAAAACAGAATATTAGGAAATTCAAAATCATGCTATATAGGCAAATGAAGGTAGCCCAGGTGATTTAAATGGAACTAAGGCTAGCCCACAGATATGGTGAGAGGTATTTAGCAATTTAGGGAATGAATCAAAAATAGAAGATATAATCCGTGACCTGCAGGAACTTAGCGAGATAGTCTGTGACCTAAGATATGCACAAAACAAACAGGTAAAAGCAATTTGCCAAACAATATACCCTCTTATAATAATTTATTTAAGAACTATTTATATAAAGAGTTAAAAGACAAGAAATACAACTAATGAAAACAAATAACCTTTACAGAATTATATTAAATGAAAATGTCACAATACAAACTATCACTATCTATCTCAATAAAAGAAATAAAAGAAAAACTAAGCCAGGAAAAATAGGCTTTTAGCTTTGTACCTAAATAGAGAAGCTCGGGCAATCCACATAAAGGACTTCTTTGACATTCTCCTGATAAAAGCAGTTAAAAACCTTACAGAGTTGTCTATAAGAACAAACAATTAAAAACAACCTAAAAGTTTAACATTGTAGGAACATCCAAAATCATGGTACATAAACAGAATGAATACAGTCATTTATAATATTAAGAAAACAAATTCTTATTCTAGATTTTTAAAAGAACACAAATTCAGTTGATTACAACTAATAAAAAATACATTTGGTCAAGAACTAAAAAGTCAACTGTAAAAATTCAAACAGCTGCTGTTACTGTGGTCAATTATGAGTCACACTTGAATATCTTAATTTCTTTAACACTGTTGCCAATAAAGAAACTTTTTTAAAAAAGAAACACCCTTAACAGGGGTTGTCTTACTGATTTCTTTGCCATAATTTGGCTGCATTCAATCTGTCCTCAGATAAGGACTATGATAAACCAATCCATAATAATGTCTTCAAACTTTCCTTCTTGCTGCTAAATAATGGTCCCATGCCTCCCCCACTCATATACAAACACCTTCTACCCCACCCATTCACCCCCCGTAATTAGTAACATTCGTATTTTACTGCACACTGGTCAAGCTAAGGCTTCCGTTTATACCACTCTCTTTCTCTCAGAGCACTTTCTAATAATAATAAGCTCAGGGGTTCCCTCTTCAACAAGTAATGACCATGGATACAAGGACTAAGTGAAGTGATAAGTATATAAAAAGAGAGACAAGTCTGGGTCTACATTTATCAGATTTTTGGAACGGTATCTGTTGGGGTCTGCATTAGGAAGAAAACTTCTTTTTTTATAAAATTCAGGTATAATGAATCTCTGAAAACAATTTATCATAATAATGTCATTTGGCTTCATAATACATATTTAAATAACCAAAACTCTTCCACATCTAGAAACAGAAGGGACACCATTTCTACATCCTAAAGCAAGGCTTAGTAATAGGCCTAAAGAGAGCAATCATGACTTCTGCCTCCTAACACACACATTACCTGTCCTAATCATGAACTGACTGCAGCCTAATCATCTTTTAAAAGGTAAAAATCTACCTAAATTACATAAACTATAAGTATTACTTACTTCCGTTTTTTGGCTTTAACAGGTTCATCTTCATTCATTTCTTCCATTAATTCTTGTTCTTCTTTAACTATAAGAAAATTTAATTTAACTGTCAGAATAAAAATAAGCAAGCAACAATTTAAATATTTAGGTATGAATCCTTCTGCTAACCACTACTGGAACACTTGTGTCAGCAGTATTTTTTTAAAGCTGCAACTTATAGCTCACTCACTTGCACTCATAGAGAACTGCCACTTTTGGATGGACAGCATTGTCGGGGTTGGGTGCCCTGGCAAAAAAAATTTTCAAAAATTATGAATAGTTATAGGTACATGTTATGCAATCTTTAATAAAATTACTCCTTAACTATTTATGTATCTATAACACTTCTTTATAAAACATTAAACAAATCATGATAATTCTACAACTCCTCTATTAATCTTCCCTTTAAACTTGATTCATTCTGAAATTTTTATTACATAAAATTTATCAATAAATGAATATTGTATTCATTTATCAAATAAATGAATATTTATCAGATAAAGAATAAAACCCTTATACCTTCTGCACCAGGTAGACCAAGTTCCAATAATTTGGAAATCACAAGCAAGCAGAAAATGTTAGTACCATGTGTATATATATAATCTATGAAGATTTCTCAATTATTATAAATGATACATCAGGATTTGTTTCAGCTAAAGTATTAAATTAGTCATTTATCATGCTTCTATACTACATAAAGGGTTTTTTTTAAAAAACACAATCCTATCAATACCATGGCAAATTATCAATAAAAATGCAATAAAAATTAAATATAAATATTTATATTTATTATATATCTTATATATTGGAAGGCTGTCTGAGTGTAAGGTGAATTAAAAGATTATCTCTTAAGAAGGTACAGGCATCTCTCTAGTCCCAGGAATAAGGTTTACTTCCCCAAATTTCATCAAGTTTAAAAGACTGCAGTTTTAGTTAACCAAATTTTAATAAACAATATCTTAAAAATACTCTATACAGCTTGATTATTTCAAAATATGTAACACTAATCACAAAAGGTGCTAAAAGGCTCACCGAGGAGCACTGCAATACTATTAGTAAGAATGAAGCAAGCATCAGCAGTACAACATATCCTGGACTAACTGACAACCTTGAAAAGAACAAGATGTTTTTAAAATACATATAATAATAAATATTTACAAACCATAATTTTATCCAAATTCTGTTTTTTAATTATCTGAACTCAATCTAGAAGAGCAGTCTACTTTCCATTTCTCAAATATTCCTTTCTTTATATTCCTTGAAAACAGACATTTCTAAACTGCCTCATATTTTCCATAAAAATATTAAAAGCATATTAAAATCAGAGGACAAACGCTAATTTAAGACTTACTCAGTTTCTTCACCTCTTCCATCCCTTTTTTATGCGGGGGCTCCTGAATAATTTTGTCAACATCTGCCCTTCCAATCAGATCATCAGGCCGGTCCCACATAGAAAGACGGGTGGTAGGATTATAAAAGAAGACCCTCTCATCACCAGTCCAAACAACACACCTAGGAATAGTCGAACATTTTCTTACGTTATGGAACATATTTTACAGTTAGGTCTTTTAATGCCATCCAATCAAAAGGGGAGGTGGTAGTGGTGGGGAAGGACACATTCACATTATTATTACTTACAGGGAGCCAAATATGATTTTCAGAAAAGGAGAGGTGACTGGCTATGGGTTAAGTAAAATAGCAACTCAACATACTAACAGAAAACTAGGAAAAGCAAAACATTCATGATCAGAATTTAGAGTGCTCAGGAACATGTCTGGCACACTCAATGTTAACCTATCACAAAAGATGAGCCTAACAGCAAATAATAATGCTATTAAACAGTTCTAAAGCTAAAGAACACACCACAGCATCTGACCTATTACATAATACTATTTCTTACCAAACCAGACTGCAAACTCAAATGCAATTATTTATGAAGCTTTTAATAATTGACTATATCAAGTATCTAAAAATAGAAGCACCTATTGTGCTATGGCACTGTAACCCAGTACAACCCACTGTTCCTATTAATCACAACTAGAAACTCAGCAACAATGTAGAAAGAAACAAGTACCTAAGAACTCTCTAAGGTTTAAAAAAAAACAAAACACAGGTATGAAGTCAAAATTTAGAGAAGGGTATAAATTTCTCCTCCCTCAAACCTCTGCTGAGGGCCCTGGCTACACAGGAACAGTAGCACAGGCAGCTAAAACTTCTCTTAGTTTTGCTCTGATTTCTCTTAAGCAGGTCTTTATGACCAGATAATCAAAGTTAACCAACAGCTGCCAAGCTCAAGGTGACCTAGATGTTAAAATTAATCAGACAAAGTCTCTATTGTTGAAATAATCAAACACTTTACAGCAGCAATTATAATTACACTTAATGAGATCAAGAAAAACAAAACAAAGATAAGCCAAAACTTGAAAGAAGACAGAGGTTCTGAGCAGAGAAACTGTTAAAAAAGAAAACAAAAAAAAGAATGGTGTTTCAGGAACCTATGGCACTATATCAAAATGCCTGACAGACATGTCTGGGCAGAAAAAATTTAAAGACAAATGGCCCAAAGATATCTCCAAATTTGGTAGACGACATAAATACTAAGGAAGTTCAGTGAACCCCAAACAGGATAGACTTTCAGAAAATCATTTTTAGACACAACATAAACAGATGGAAATCGAATATAAAGAAAAATCCTCGAGAGCAGCTAACAAAAAGTACAGAAGAAAACAAATAGGGAAACTAGTCCAGGGACTGTGGATTTCCTACCAGAAACCAGAGGCAAAAATACATTAAAACAACATCATTAAAGTCCAGGAAAAACGGAAATGCCAACCTAGAATCCCAATAGAGCAAAAACATCCTTCATGAACAAAGGAAAAGAAGATATTCTCAATGAGGGGAAACCAAGAGGTTTCATTTCTATCAGAATTGTCCTGTAAGGAAGTTTCTCAGGCTAAAAGGAAGTGACACCTAAAAAAATACCAAACAAACAAATAAAAAAGCACCTGGATCCTTAGTAATGAAGAGGAAAAAACAGAAATGGTAAATATTAAACATTTTTTCCTCTTAAGTTCTTCAAAATATGTATGAAAAATTATGAACAACGCATGTTGGGGTTTTCAATGCATGTAATAGTAATACATATGACAACTGTAACATAAAGGTCAGTAGGTACAAGGTTAAAAAAGAACCTATATGATAACAAGGGTCCTGCATTTTACGTGAAGTGCTACAATAATAAGTACGCTATGATGGTTAAGTGGGTATATTATAATAAAAGAAAAACTAAAAATTAATGCAAAGAGATATCACCCGAAAGCCAAAAGATAAATTATTAAATGCTAGAAAATGTTCAAATAATTAAAATAAAGGGAGTAAAGGGCGAATGGAGGAACAAAAATAGAGAAGACAGAAAACAAATAATAGATTTAAATCCAACCAAAAGTTACATTCATGTTAACAGTCTAAACATTCCAAAGTGAATAAAAACACAAGACACTACTATAAGCTGTTTTAAGAAACTTTAAACATAAAATTATAGAAAGCTTTAAAGTAAATGGATGGAAAAAACACAAAACAAAAGGTATTATGAGAGAGAAACGGGGTCTTTTCATAATGATTAAAATAAAAAGACAATCAGGAACATGTAACTGTAAAACATATATAAGAAGCCTGTTTACAGAGCTTAAAAGTAGATGAAATAGGCAATTCCACTATAATAGATTAACAGAACTATCTTAACAACTGCCAGACCAACCAAACCCTAAAACTAACAGTACCAAGAAAGATCACCTGGTGAACAATTGAAAAAAAAGAAGTCTTAATGAATTTGAAAGTATCAAAACCAAAGAAAGCACATTCTCTGACCACAGGACAATTAAATCAGTACAAATGAAATACACAGAAAAAATTCAAATTAAGGAAATGAAAAAAAAAGACTTCTAAATAATATGAGTCAAGGACAAAAATCAAAAATAAATTTTATAATTAAAAACTGAATGGTAATGAAAATACAACACATCAAGATTTGTAGGCTGGTGCTAAAGTGAAGTGAAGTTGCTCAGTTGTGTCCAACCCTTTGCGACCCCATGGACTGCAGCCCACCAGGCTCCTCCGTCCATGGGATTCTTCAGGCAAGAATACTGGAATGAGTTGCCATTTCCTTCTCCAGGGGATCTTCCCGACCCAGGGATCAAACCCAGGTCTCCTGCATTGCAGGCAGACGCTTTAACCTCTGAGCCACCAGGGTGCTAAAGCAGTGCTTTAAAGTAAACTGTTAAGCTTTAAATGATAAGAACACTAATGACCTAAGAGTAATCTCATAATTACTAGAAAAAGAAGCTAGAAAAAGTATAAAGTAAACCCAAAGTAATCATAAAAAAGGAAATAAGAGAGGGAAAGAGTGAAGGCGCCCAACCACCGTAAAACTTGTGGTCTTTATGAAAGACCACAAAACAGGCAAACTTCTGGCTTGACTGGTCCAGAAGAGAGAACAAATCACCACTATGTGGAAAGAAAAAGCAGTATCACCACAGATCATAGACATTTAAAGGATATTAAGAGAATAATAACAACAGAAACACTCAAAGGATACTAAGAAAATAATTAGAACAAATTCAACTTACACAAAATAAGCAAATTTCCTGAAAAATACAACTTAAAACAACACAAGAAACAAAACAAAATGAATGGTCCTATAGCTATTAAAGAAGTTTAAGTTGTTACCAAAAATCTTCCCCCCCAAAAAACTCTGACCACAGATGGTTTATTTGTTAATTCTATAAAACCTTAATGAAAAAGTATTATCTTACAAACTTTTTCAGTAAACAGAGGAATAGAAATCACCAATTACCATCCAACTCATTTCTTGAAACCAGCAAAATCCTAATACCAAGATCCAACAAAAACATTACAAAAGAAACTTATGGATTCATATGCCATAAGTATAGATGCAAAAATACTTAGTAAAATATTAGCAAATCAAATCCAACAATACATTAAAAAGATTAATCTACCATGATTAAGGTTTATTACAGAAATGCTTGTTAAAGTTAGTTTAACAATCAAAATTCAGAGTAATTCTCCATATTAAAAGAATGTAAGAGAAAAACTCATTTCAAAAGATGTAGATTTATGATAAAAACAGTATCAAATTTTTTAAAAACCATATAAGCTAATATTATATCTGATGTAAAAGACTGAATTTCTCCCCCTACATGGAGAATAAGGCAGGGATGTTCATTTCTTCTACTTAGCATTGCACTGATAGTCCTAGCAACAAGAAAAGAAAAAGAAAATACATTAAAAATCAGAAAATAAGAAATGTGCTCCCATCTGCACGTGATAGAATTCTTCATGAAGAAAATCCCAGAGAAATCTACAAAACTATAATAGATGAATTTAGCAAGATTCTAGTCTACAAAATATCCAAAACCTTATCACACACAAGTTTTATATTTTTATGAGACCAAATTTAATTATCTTTTTATTTACAGCTTCTAGGTTTTCTGTCTTACTTAGGAAGCATCTCCATTCCCTCTCCAAAACTGCAATTACATGGTCCTAATGTTTTTATAGTTCATCTGAATACCTGAAAGATAACCACTTGTCCAAATTATCTTCCAAGTTTTATCAATGAAGGAATGTATCAACAGTGTAATTTTAATTCCCTAATTATTTTCTATTTCTTATAAAATAGGTAACTGTAACTTTCAACTGTTCAGCTAACCAAGCATGCTACTTCATTGGATAATCAAATTTTATTAGTTTATTTCTTGGTATCCTTACATGCTGCTCTTCAAATTACTATTTCTTAAGAGATAAGCTAAGAAATTACAGGTAAATTATGAAGTTTCATGTTTTCCTTAATTACACTGGAATTTTTTTCTTGGTATCATCGGTTTGGCTTTATTTTACCTTTTCTTTTTTTTAATAAAGGATCAAAAATTATAAATTTTCTAGGTTCAGTAAACTTTAGTTTCTGGTTCTAATAAAGTTTTTAATGTTTTGACACAACAAAAGTCTTTAAGGTCATGGAGACTTGTAACTTTTCCAATTGCTTACTAAGACTGCATCACAAAGATTTAGCGTGCCATAAAGACAGAGGAACTAGAGATCAAATTGCCAACGCCTGTTGGATCAGAGAAAAAGCAAGAGAATTCCAGAAAAACATCTACTTCTGCTTCTGCTTGACTACGCTAAAGCCTTTGACTGTGTGGATCACAACAAACTGTGGAAAATTCTCAAAGAAATGGGAACACCAGACCACCTTATATGCCTCCTGAGAAACCTGTGTGCAGGTCAAGAAGCAACAGTTAGAACCGGACATGGAATAACAGACTGGATCCAAACTGGGAAAGGAGAATGTCCAGGCTGTATATAGTCACCCTGCTTATTTAATTTATATGCAGAGTACATCATGAGAGATGTTGGACTAGATGAAACACAAGTTGGGATTAAGACTGCTGGGAGAAATATCAATAACCTCAGATATGCAGATGACACCACTTTATGGCAGAAAACTTTGAGGAACTAAAGAGCTTCTTGATGAAAGTGCAAGAGGAGAGTGAAAAACTTGGGTTAAAACCCAGCATTCAAAAAGTGAAGATCATGGCATCCGGTCCCATTACTTCATGGCAAATAGATGGGGAAATAATGGAATGAGTGAGAGACTTTATTTTTTGGGGCCCCAAAATCCCTGTAGATGGTGACAGCAGCCATGAAATTAAGACGCTTGTTCCTTGGAAGAAAAGCTATGACAAACCCAGACAGCCTAATAAAAAGCAGAGACAATACTTTGCCAACAAAGGTCCATCTAGTCAAAGCTATGATTTCTCCAGTAGTCATGTATGAAAGTTAGAGCAGGACCATAAACAAAGCTGAGTGCTTGAAGAATTGCCGCTTTTGAACTGTGGTGTTGGAGAAGACTCTTAAGAGTACCTTGGACTGCAAGATCCAACCAATTTAAATCCAATCTAAAGGAAATCAACCCTGAATATTCACTGGAAGAACTGATGCTGAAGTGGGTTTCCCTGGTGGCTCAGAGGGTAAAGGGTCTGTCTGTAATGCTGCAGACCCGGCTTCGATCCCTGGGTTGGGAAGATCCCCTGGAGAAGGAAATGGCAACCCACTCCAGCACTCCTGCCTGGAAAATCCCATGGACAGAGGAGCCTGGCAGGCTACAGTCCATGGGGTCACAAAGAGTCTGACACAACTGAGCGACTTGACTTTACTGATGCTGAAGCCGAATCTCCAATACTTGGGCCACCTGATGAGAAAAGCCAACTCACTGGAAAAGACCCTGATGCTGGGAAAGACTGAAGGCAGGAGGAGAAGGGGATGACAGAGGACAAGATGGTTGGATGACATCACTGACTGAATGGACATGAGTTTGAGCAAGCCCCATAAGATGGTGAAAGACAGGGAAGCCTGGCGTGCTGCAGTCCATGGGTTCGCAAAGAGTCAGCCATGACTGAGCCACGGAACAACAAAGTCAAAGTGAGGCTGCCTTTATTTGCCATTCATAATTTGTTTGTAACCTGTGTTGGATTTCAACTTCTGAAAAATTTATCTTTGAACTTATGGTATTTGAAATTTCATATTTACCTAGGCTGGCATGGCAACTTTATTTTTATTTACATATTTATATCAATTGATTAATTGCTGATGCATTTCTTTAGTTTATTTCCATAGGTTTTTACTCAGTATTATGGAAAAATTGAAACATACAGAATATTCTAAGAATGTCTCTAGAACAATGAACACAATATACTGATCATCTAGATTTAGACTTAATATTTTATCATATGCTCTTTATCACGTATCTATCCTTCCCCTAAATATCTGCCAGTCTTATTTTTCTGAAATATTAAATGATGCAGATTATCAATACACTTCACCCTAAGCACTTTATCATGCATATTATTAGCACAAGGTAGTTTTGTGACACAAGAATTCTTTGTCCATGTGCTGAGTGCTTAGTCGTTTCTGACTCTCTGCAACCCCAAGAATTGTAGCCTCCTCTGTCCATGGGCATTCTCCAGGCAAGAATACTGGAGAGGGTGCCATGCCCTCCTCCAGGGGATCGTCCCAACCCAAGGATGGAACCCAGGTCTCCTGCAATGCAGGTGGATTCTTTACCACCTGAGCCACCAGGGGAAACCCTGGCGACACAGGAATTCTTTGTCCATGGTCTTTCTATTAATTCTGAAATATCCTGACAGCTTCTCACTCCACACCTACGGCTCATACCACTGGAACTGCATTAGCACACCTAGGGAGGAAAATAACCAGAAAAACATCTTAACTGTCTTCAGCAATCATACTCTTGCTGACACTACTGGTCTTGTCTGTGGGAAAAGCAAATGAGTAAATATGCCAAAAGGCCAGGTTTTTCAATCTCCGCATTACTGGCATCTGGGCCAAATAATTAATTCTTACAGGGAGCTGCCCTGTATATGGTAGGGTGTTTAGGAGCAGCCCAGGCCTATACCTACCACATGCCTTTAATACCTTCCAGTTACAACAACCAAAAATGCCTGCAGACTTTGCCCAACACCCACTTCAGGGAGGGGGCTGAGGGGAGGAGGCCAAATTACTTCTGATTGAAAACCACTGCTGCTGCTGCTGCTAAGTCACTTCAGTCGTGTCCGACTCTGTGCAACCCCATAGAGGGCAGCCCACCAGGCTCCCCCGTCCCTGGGATTCTCCACGCAAGAACACTAGAGTGGGTTGCCATTTCCTTCTCCAATGCGTGAAAGTGAAAAGTGAAAGTGAAGTCTCTCAGTCGTGTCTGACTCTTAGTGACCCCATGGACTGCAGCCCACCAGGCTCCTCTGTCCATGGGATTTTCCAGAGTACTGGAGTGGGTTGCCACAGCCATCTCCAGAAAACCACTGATCTAGGCAAAAATCAGCAATGACCACTAAAATCACACACAAAAAAAGGGACAACTAGAGGGAAAGGTCATCATCAGTTAGTCTGCCAAAAAGATCAAGCATGAATTTGATCACATCTCTGTAACTGCCTGCTAAATTTACAGGAAATTCAGAATGGAGGATTCTATTAAAAATAAAACCCAGTAATAAAACCCAGACTGTGGGATTCTATAGAACAAATAATAAAACCAAGGAGAAAAAAGGAAAACAAGTTGAAGGGGAATTTACAGATTACAAGACTTAAGAAACAAGCCAACTCATTGCCATGAGTAGACTGAATACAGATTAAATAGCATAGAGAAAGAAAGCCCTGATGTGGGGAAGAGGAAGAAAAGGGAGAACCAAATAAAAAAAGGAAAGAAAAAACAGACTACTCAAAGCCAAGATAAAAAGATATAATTTTACACAGTTCTCTGAACATAATCATTTTGAGGATATAAAGCAATTTTAAAACATTTCAAACAATAAAAAAGGAGATTCAGGATCTTACAGTGGTTCAAATCTATAATTATAATCAGTAAATATTAATAGAGAGTTCTGTGAGAAGAGCAAGACACTGCAGCAGTTGAATTTTAGGTTTGAGAATCCAAAATAAAACAACCAAAAAACATTCAGTATTTGACACATACTTTTTTTAAAGTACTTTCTCTTCCTATTGTGTAATAATGTAATAATCAAACATGGCAATAAATAAATAAATAAAACAACTTACTAATTAAGTAACCTACATACCACGGAGTACCAGGAATAGGTGTAGTAGCTACTGGCTTTGCCTTCTGGGCAGCTTTTTCTTCCTCAGTCATCTCTTCTTCTTTGGGCTCCTATGGGAAATTGTATTACTCCCATTAAATTAATATCACAAAATTATACTTAAATATCCCACAAACATTAGACTGCAAATACCTTAAAGTAAAACATAATGTCTGTTGCTACCATACAGAGGGGAGACACTGAGTCAGAATTTCTAAATCTTTGCCCCTTAGGCAGAGCTGAATTCCATGACAGTAGAACCTATTGGCTTCCCAGATGGCACAGTGATAAATAATTTTCCTGCCAATGCAGGAGATGTAAGTTTAATCCCTGGGTCTGAAAGATCCCCGGGAGTAGGAAAATGGCAACCCACTCCAGTAGTCTTGCCTGGAAAATTCCATGGACAGAGTAGCCTGGCGGGCTACCGTCCATGGGGTCGCAAAGAGTCAGACATGACTGAGAAGGCACACACATAGAAATATAGACCCCGTCAGAAGAAGATGTTTCTAACTTAGAGAGTCATTAACCATCTATTTAAGGGTAGAAATAAGGAAAGGGGTATAGAATATTAGAGGAGATTTCCTCATTTAAGGTTATTTCTTTTTCTGCTAAATTCCTTACTTAGCAGAGCATCCAAAAAGCAGAGCTCTTTTAGTGCTGTTCAGAGATTATTCCATGCAAGAGAGGACAGGTAAAATACAATGAACAATCCCCAAATATGAAGTTGTACTTAAAATTATAAGATGTAGCAGCTTGTAAGTCAGGAGGAGACATCAACTCTGGTCCAGGGCTCGCTCTTTCTAGGGCAGCCTTGGTTTCGTGTAAGAAGTAATTCAATGAAATTTTCATAGGAAAAATTGAATTACAAATTTCAAAGAACCCTAAAACTTCAGGGATCAGATTTACAGCAATTATCTAAAACTACAGCAAACAGATTTTCAGTTACCAGTAAACTGTATCCAACAATCAACGCTGGCTCTCTTGTCAGTAGAAAATGGCCCTTTACCTCCTTTATCTCCTTTATCGGCTCTTCTTTAGGATCTTCCTCCTCCGTCTCCATTGGCAGAGGCTCTTCAGAAGGTTCTTTAATTGGCTCTTTAATCTTCTCCTCTAGTTTTTCTATTAAAAAATGGAGATAACATCACATAGTGGTTCTGATGTAACTTCTGATGAACTCTGAGACTAAGCGGTAAGGATATTCCATTTCTAGCTGTTAACCACAAAAATTATTCTTCCTGTAAAACTTTCTTCCTGTAATATCATTGATTTGAATCTAATGTCATGCTCAACTTCAAATACCTTGCTATACTAATTAGGACTGTCAGCAGAAACGAACTACTGATTTCAGAAGGACATAAAGTCTTACATTCATGTATCATTTTTGCTACAAATGAAAGGGATAACATACTAAAAAACAGAAACAGGGACTTGTGATTATAGAAAATTATGAGTCCTCTTCCTCCAAGGTTCCAACAGCCTAAAGTTTTTTTTTCAGAACATACACAATACACACATTCCTTACTGGTCACTATCATCAATCTCAGGAAGGATGATGACAGTAATTCAACAGCTAATTAGGCAATTATGCAATTCCTGACAGCAGTAAAAAATATATCTATTAGTGTGGACATATAATTTAACTTCTCTAAATGGTAAAATGACGGACAAACATGTAAGCAGAACAACCGTGGCTTTTTAAATGAACACATTATCAATTCAGTGGAAATAATCCAACACTACATAAACAGAAAATCCCTCAAATGTTTTAAAAAGGAATTAATTCAGAATTTCAAATACCATTCTATGTATACTATGTCCCACTAAGTCATTACAACTATACCTTTTTCCTTTAGCTCTTGCGGTTTTTCCCAGGTTGATTCTAATGTTCTATTATTATAATAATATGTCTTCCCATCTGCTGTTTTATATTCAGTCCATTCAGAAACTGCTGTTGCTCCAGCTAAGGTAGCAGGTGAAGCTGCAATAGCAACCTGGGGATGTATCATAGGTACGATAGGAGGGGCCATTCCTGGCAATACACCTAAAAGAAGAATAATAGAAAATATCAGATCCAAGTACCAAATTGTAATACAAAGTAAAACTTTAAAATATGAGCTAAATCTTTCTATCAAACATAATAAATGAATGAGCAAACTGAAACAAAAAAAATCATATAAAATATTACTTAATTACTTAAATCTGGCTTACTTCTAATGCCTAAATTCAATTAGATTCAGAAATTCAACCCAAGAAGTACCTTGAAGTCAGAAATTTGCGTCACACCTATAATGAAATTGTGATAAATCATAATAACATAAAACTGTAAAAATGATAAATTCTCAAATTTTAATAGAAATATATTTTTATAAAGAATTTCTTAAGTTCTAATGAAGTCAAGGCAACAAGCACATTTACTAAGAATATTTCCTGAGGTAAAATTATTTTCTTGTTCTAAGATACTTAAAAAGGATACAAATAAAATTCTATTTCAAAGTAAATGACTGAAAAAATAAATAAATAAAAATAAATCTGACTCTGTTATCAAAGCAATTTTAACATAGTAAGTGATTAAGTCACATAGCCCTGTAAACTGACAGCTTATTCTTTTCCAAAAAGAGAGCAAAGTTTCTTTTATTTTTAAAAGATAAGCCAAGATTTATATTTTTCACCAGACAGCTAAATAAGCTGGTGCTACATAATCAAAAATGTGAATTAAAATTGGAAAAAAAAAATCTTCATATCCTATGCTAGAATTTAAGTTTCAGGTAGTTAACTTCAGTAACTTTAAAATGCAAATTTATACTATACACACAAATATTCACACACATAAACTCACTGGCATGCAAGCATAATCACATCACTTTACACATGGAAATGATTTTTTTTATATTTAACTTAAAAAACACACATCAAAAATAAAATTAAATGTTATGAATATGAGAATGAAGTTGTTTACACTTATTACAAAAATCAAGATATAAAGTGATCTGACCTTATTTGCTTTTGTGAACCAACAAAGCTAAAACTACAGGCAACTGGGAAAATTAAGTGTTGGCCAAATATGACAACTGCATTTATACTGCTCATTAAAAAGAAAAATATAAAAAAATCCACTCACTTGGGCAAAATAAATAAATAAAAGGATAAACAACAACATTCACTACCATGCCAACTTACAGACAAAACAAACTAAGATGGTTTTAAAAATTACCGGTCTTGGTGGTAGCGACTGTCTTTACATACGGGCAGCTGACTATTTGCATCATTGCTACACCTGTAAAATGGATAAGCAAGCATACGTTGGAAAGCTGCCATTGTATGTCGGCTACCACTGGGATTCAGGGAAATAATTTACCACTACAATTTAGAATGTTCTTTCCAAATGAAAAAGACCAAGGATGGAGTAAAATTTCTTTCTGTTTGACATTTTGTGGGAAGTGGTGCCAAATTCAATGATAACTAATTCTAAGTTATAGCATCAATTACCTTTTTATCAAACCAGCTGGTAATTTTTGAAGGAGTCTCAAGAGTTTAAAATCAACAAAGGAAAAGTCCCTTCATTACATATGCATAACAGGTTTCCATGTGGGACATTTTCCCACAGGACCTCAAGTCCATGCTGCTTAAGAAACTAGTGAAAGGCAGACGCAGCATGGCACTGACAAGACACCTTCTCTGTGCTGCTGCTAAGTGGGAACTACATGCAGAAGCAGAGGCATGGAGCACAACCATGCAGAACAGTAAGGCAGGACAAAGAGTGTGAGAGCAAGGAAGAAAACTGAGTAGGAGATAGATCCAAATATTCCACTGCAAATAATAAAAAGGGCAAGGATGAACAGGAGGGTAGCATCCAACTAAAGACAGAATATCCACGTGTAGTGCCTGTTCTGTGAAATGCCATGGGCTTGGGACACTGTGGAGGTAGGCTAACAAATTAAGAAAAATACAGCCTTACTGATTGAAAACTCAATTTGTTGAAGCTAGCTAAAGGAATGGAAATTACGTACAGTTCTTAGAAGAATGAAGCCTCATCACGATGCATTACAATGATGATAAAAAGGGAATGAAAGGAAAAGCGGGAAAACTAAGATTTTTGAATTGAGGAAATTTGAAATTAAAGAATGAATTTTAAAAAATTTTTAAAGGAAAAGGCCTAAAGCAAAGGGTGTGGAAATTAAATTTTATCTTCTATTTGTTTTGGCTAAAAAAAATACTAAACTTATTTTGGTATTGACAAAAATTAAAAAGAATAAACTATTTTCCCCACAAAGTACAACATGAAACTCTTCATGATTCAGAGAAAAAAATTAAAGCTAAACCCCTGGGATTATAAATAATGTGCCTATGTTCACTCACACACACACAAAAATACTGCCAATTTTTGCAAACTGCCTTAACTTCTTAATTATATTTTAAATAAAAACATAAAGCTAAACCTTCTATTAACACTGAAACTAAAACAAATGCACTGGATCATAAAAGCATGCTGAATAGTTATATGTACAGTTTTATTTTCCATGTTTAAAGAAAGCAATAGAAAAATTCATTTGGTTAGAAGTTACAGCATGTATTAGGTTTATAATTAGTATAAATACTGCCATCTGCAGGACTACTGAGCCTAGTAAGCCAGCACTAGAAATTCCAATCTTAGAATATATGAACTTTATTCTCAAAGATTGTTCCTAAAGACATACCCCAATAAATAATTTCAACTATACAACTAAAACAGAAGAAAATCCTACCTACTGATATTTAGGCCTAACTGCCATGTCTAATATCAACCAGGCCAACAGAGAACTCTTGTATTTGACTATCAATATTACAGGTCATGATAAAAGAATATTTCTGTTTCTTCTCATGTTAAAAAGACCAAATTAAGGTTTTCTGAGGATGACTATATGTGTACCATGAAGACTCACAAAATAACCAAAGAGCTAAATTTTTAGTCTTCTTTTTAAAAGGAGCAGTTGTTCAATTTCCCTACAACTCCATCCATCCTCACATTATGTTCTACCAGGAAATTAGAAAATTCCATTTAGTATTCTGGATAATCCTGATGTCACTGACTATAAGCTTCTTAAAATTCCAAATAAGATTTTACAGTAGAAATCCTATAATCCTAATCCAATTCACTATCCCAAAGCCCACCTCTGAAGGTTTTTACACCTAACTCTTCCACTCCTTTCCTTCACTAAGTATCCCCTCTTTAATCATCCTCAGAGCCATATATACAATGTTTCAAACAGCACTTAAGGCTCCAAGATAAATTACATCCAAATCCCCCATTTACCTTACTACAAATATTCAACAAATATTACTTCAAAAATATTAATATTACTTTCTATAAAAAATTAGTTCCCTCTCCAAAGAATCTTTCGTATCATGCACAAAATTTTATAGATTATCTAATTCAGGTCGTCTTCCAACTGACCTAAAAAATGTCATTAATAGCTGCCATTTATTAAACGTCTTTTGCTGACAAACTTCATAGGTACTACCTCATCTGGTAACCCAAATGTTTACCAACTGTTCTAAAATTTAATGGTGGGTGAGGGCCAGAGAAGACCAAGATATTCAAAGACAGCTGTAACTGAAAGGATTTTATTGTGACAAAATTCCACTTCCTATAAAAATAATTTTGGTACTAGCAAAGAGTACTCTTTGCTACTCACTGGTACTATTAAGAACCTCCAGAGCAAAACCAAACTCTTTTAGATACCAGCCTTTCCAATATCTCATATATGTTATGATACTACCTCTCAATCTTCTCTCTACAGAATTAACAACCCCAGCTCCTTAAGATGACTCAGAATTCAGGATCTGGTCTTAACACTGTCCTGGCCCTAAAGCCGACCAAGATTGCAAGAGATTATGTCATGCTTTTATCCATTTATCACTTAATTTTCTACAAAGAGTATGCCAAAGAGGAAAGTATCTAGCTGTTTACCTTTAATTTTGAAAAAGGGTAATACCTAGTATTTGAGAAGATTTTTTAATTTTCTTCTTCCTTTCAAATGATTTCAGTTTCTTAAATATCATATACTATGCATTATCTAATACTACAAGAACATGAAAAAGATTTTCCAAAAAAACCCACTGATTCTTAAAATTTTGGCTTCTTTCTTGTTCAGGCATAATAGCTGAAAGTGTTCTTTTCAAAGTAGTTACAAGGAAGTAGACAATTAGAGCAACAGTGATAATTCATGTGTGCAACTCTTACCAGCTGTATCACAACCCTATTTTACACAAAAACTAATGCAATGAAGCAGCAGTCACGTGGAAGGGATGTGAAATTAGCAGACAGGTGGCCTAGGTTCTATTCATCTTTGCTATAAACTAGCCTTGTAAACTTGACCTTTTTAGTCAGTGTCAGTCGCTCAGTCATGTCCAACTATGGACTACAGCCCACCAGGCTCCTCTGTCCATGGGATTTCCCAGGCAAGAATCCTGAAATGGGTTGCCATTTCCTCCTCCAGGGAATCTTCCCAACCCAGGGATCCAAACCGGGTTTCCTGAACTGCAGGTAGATTCTTTACTGTCTGAGCCACCAGGGAAGCCCTGACCTCTTTAAGGGATCAATATTTTCAACTATAAATCTAGGAGAACAGACGATGGATTAAGGAGTAAATGTGTCTGACAACAACAAGCACTCTCATATTAGGATGCTGAACACTATCATTGTTTAATTCCTATGGGGAAAAATTTTACTCCAAAATCTTTTAATTCCTTCTCTAGTTGAAATGATTTCCCCTAAGAGAATAAAAGACATTCACTGCAATTATGTAAACATTTAAGTGGTATATGTTATACTTCACAATTGTTACAGGGGAAGCATGCATTCTGTTTCACATGAATTTTTTAAAGTTACATGACTCACAATTTTTTCTCAGTATAACATCATTATTATGAGCATGGTATTTGGATCTGAAGTGCCCAGACTCAAACCCCAACACCATCCCTTATCAGCTATGTGACCATGGGCAAGTAACCTTAACCTGTCTGTGTATCTACCTCCTAAGATGGTGGTGAAAATTACATGACTTATTACATGAAAAGTGCTTGGACCAATGGATGATATATAAATCACTTGTGGTAACTCTTATGACGTGATTTCTTAACTTCATACAGTCAATCCCTTAAAATATGGCATTTAGAACATATTTACACAAAAAGATGATCACTTTTAATTCATTGAGGCCATTATCCAAAATAAGTGTAGCTTTAAATGTGGCTCTAATTTTAAGACATGTAAACAACAATAACAAAAAAGGACATTTACCAAAACTGAAGAGAAAATATTGCAGTTAGCCATGAATCTTTCAAAAATGTTTCAAACAAGTGAGATTCAAGGCAAATTTCAAATGCAACAGACACATGAGAACAAACTAACTGACAATATGAAAACATAACTGGAAAAACTATTATCATCTATTGGTTTACCTGGAAGTGGAATTGGCATGCCAGGAAGGGGAACACGAAACGGAGGTACCATTACTGGTGGAAAAGCAGGTATTGCTGCTGCTGGCTGAGGTACTGAATGAGGAACAGCAGGAGGTAACGTCTGGGGGTGCGGCTGAGGAACGGTTTGCACAGGTGTGGCTGTAGGAGCAGGAGTTGAAACACTAACTGTAGGCGTGGCAACTGAAACAGCAGAACTTGGGGTCTGATCTTGTGTTGTGGGTGCTGATAAAAAATAAAACAAAAATATGTATCACTCGTTCATAAACGATTTTACTATACTCATTCATCACTCACTCATTCAGTATTTAAGGGCCATTCCATGCACTGCAAGGTATTTATAACAAGGTCTCTGTCTTCAAGAAGCTTGAAAATAGTTAAATGAAACACAAAAAAATAAGTAAAATACAAAGTGAGATGGGATAAATGTACATGAATGTGAATCAAGACAAAAGACCACTTCTACTGTGAAACGGTACAGAAAATTTTATACTGTGATGATAGGCCTTTAAAGATTATGATTTTAACAAGGAAAATGACAAAATGAAAAGAGAAAATAAGCAAGTGGTGAGAAAACTGAGTAAAAGCAAAGACTAGAGGACAAAAAGGAATTGTTTAGAAAGGCAAGCAGTCAACTAGTCAAACACTAGGCATACCAACAGAACCAGTAAATTATAGCTGGAAAGGTAGGCAAGAAGTAAATATAAACTGGGAGGCCTTGAACACACAACTAATGAGTTTGCACTCAACTGGGTAGGGAAAGGGAAGAACTCATATAAATGCAGAGAAATAATCTAAAAGAATGAACACCAAACTATATCTGTATACACCCTTTTGTTTTTACTACACATGCTTCAGAGTTTGATTTTTCAATAAGAATGCATTCACGTGTTATTTATGTGACTTCATGAATGTAAAAGGGATGGGTGGAGGCAGAATGAAGTTTTCTGAATTAAAGAGTAATAATCACTGTTCATTTGATGAATTAGCCTGGCAGATGCATAGGAAGAAAAGGAAAAACAGAGATGTGAAAAGCAATTTCAACACATCTGGAGTTGTCCAAGAGAGGAAGAACAGAGGGAAAAAGATATGCAATAACTAATGACTGACTGGATATGAACAAATGGAGTAAAAAAACAACTTGGGTTTCTTTATAATTATTTCAAAATAAAAAGGTTAAAAAAAGAGAAAAAAAACACTCAGGTTTCCAAAGTGAGACCAGGAAAATGTGAAATTCAGAATAATTTGGCTCTGCTAATACATTCTTTTTAGGTATGGAAAATAAAAACATTTCACCCCTAGTAATCGCACATAAAATCAAACTGTGACTCTTGAAATATATAAAATTCATATTTCCCTTCTTTAAAGTTTCAGTTCTCAAATATAACATCCATGTAGTGGCACAAAACTAAACCATCTAGTTTCAAAACAAAATTTGTTTTTATAATTCATTGGTAACAAATACGTCATCTTTACCTTGACAGAAGGAAAAATGTCAAACTTTACCTATATTGGACTAGGAATGAATTCATCAAGTTTATAAATAAAACAGTGCTTTCCCAACCTTTATGCCAATTTTATTCTAAGGGAAAGCACACTGTTTAATGCAAACCACCCAATAATTCAACTGAAAAATTTGTCACTATCTTTCCTTCAGCTCCTAACAATGAAAAACTCACTTAGGCTGGGAAGATGTGTGCAATTTCATACTTGTTAATGAGGGACTCACCTTGGCTAAATAGACAGCAGGGCCAAACAAGTATCTTCAGGGGCCCAGGAATGAATTGGTGGTCTAGCATAGACCTAGCCTTAGGGTACAGTATCATATTAATATAATTTTATAACAGTGTGAAAAATACAAATTACATGCAACATTTGCCCAGTCCCATACATATACCATTTATCATTTGTAATCTACTGCAATGGCTGAAAATATATCTAGTTATTTCCCAACTTCCCTGAGAAGTAGGATTTCATCACCATTTTTCACAAACTTGCACAAGATAAATAACGAGTTTAGGCTCAAATGGGGTTAAAATATAAACTCCTTAATTTTTAGTTCCATTTACCCACAGATTTATACTGCAGTTAATAGAATTACATTTTTCAAAGTATTATGGTAATAGTACTTAGTAATATTTGTTAAAATTATGATATAAAGTACTGGAGTCAGGAAAATGAGTTAGAAAGGTATCAAATTTCAAGGGGAAAGGTACACCAATGGAGATGGCAGAAAGTATTCACTCATCCTCTTGCTGAAACAGGATTTTCTGAATTTGATTAGTGGCCGTGAGTCATGACAGAAAAGGGACAAAGGAAATAAAAGAATTAAATGAGGAGCTGGGAGAATGGTAGCTAGGACTTTATAATAGGTAAATTTCTACTAACTCCATTTGCTAAAATGACTAGTATAACACTACATCTCAAAATATACCACTAATCCAACCTCAGACCTTAAAGACAAGAGATTACCTCTAAGAGATGGAAAAATATTAAGAATTACAGTATGGTAACACTTCATGACAGTGAATCAAGAGAAATAAAAACAGATGTCAGGAATACTCAAAGACAACATCAAAACTGATGTTTAAAGGCAATAAAAAGAACATTTCACTGTTTTGTTCTTAGAATAAAGACATCCCTTCGTATCACTGAAGAGTAGTGCAAAAAAAAAAAAAAAATGAAAAAAAAAAAAAAAAAACCCAAAAACCAACAGGAATTCTGAATAGAATGGTTAATAACCACAAGACACCTATGGGCCTACTAACAGACCGCCCCAATACAGAAATGGAATACACAGAGAACAGGTCAAAGTCTTTGGCTATCCACTTGACTGAACAAGTACTACGGACTTCCCTTTCCAAAGAAGGCAGGGAAAAACAGAAGCAACACAGAGATTCCCCGTAGGACCACGCTGCTTTTAACGATCTCCTTCTCCCATTTCAACCAAAAGTACCCCATAAAAACTGGCAGCTTTCTGCCTTGCCGTACAGGTTTAAGAAATATTTCCCTATAAAAAGGCAAAGATCCTCAACCAATTAGCTAGTATCACTGCTAAACTTCTATATTTTCAGAATTCAATATAGCTACAGAAGAAATCAGACTAATAAAGCATTATTTACATCTTCCTATTAAGTATATTTTCTCCCAAACTATCTAAAAAATATCAAATAGGGCCTTAAAAAAACTGTCTCCCTATCACAGGTACCTTAACTACTTTGGTTACTACTTGTGTAAATAAAATCAAATTTGAATTTTTTAAATGACTAGATTTCTTTCATTTCTTATAAGGTAATATACACCAATAATTCCCTAGTCCCCAAAGCTACTGGGGGAGGGAGAAGAGTTTCTTTTTTCCCCCTTATTCTCACCTATTAAGCAGGTAGGAAAAGAATCTAAATTGTAATTGCCTTATAAGGATAACTATGTATCTTCATATCATATTAAATAATCAAATCAATAAAATTATTTAAATATTTGGTTGCTCAATCTGAACCTGCAGAATAAGTACAGCATTTATAAATATAAAAAAAATAAAACCCAGAAATGGTATCATAAATATTAATGACAGTCTTTTAAGCAAATTAACATTCTTCTCTCCTCACCCCTGAAATCTATTCAACACTGCTCATCTTTAGAAAAAAGACATACCTTTGGGCTTCTGTGATTTCACACCTGAAAGTTCTCTTACCTTTTGGACTGCTTCTAACTCAAGTCCTCATTTCATCTGCCTGCACATCATTCCGAGACCTATCTACCTTTAAAGAAGATTACTGGAAGTTTTCCGCAGTTTCCCCAATTTCAACACTAACCAAAAACTGAGCACAGGAAAAAATCTTCCAGAATACTGCATTTATACAAACCACTTAGTGTCTGCCTGCCTTACCCATTTGCCTGGTTCTTAAAACTCCATAACCTGGTCTCTTATTCAATATATTAACTAATAAAAATCCTCCCACCTAACAATCTTACAAACTATATTTACCGTCAATTCCTGACCTATGTTTCCCCCATCTGAAACACCTCTCTGAAATTTTGAACCTATTCAAATCCTATTACACACCCTTTATGATCCATCTCAATACCCATGTAGTCCACTCACTTGTCTCTCCGTTTTCTTGAATTCTTATATCTTCTAGTTTCGCTGTATAACTCTGCACACTATTTTCTAATTGTTTCACATGCATTTTTCTTGCCTCCTCAATTAGAAAAACTGGAAACTCTGTAAGATAGGGGCCAAGACTCACACTTATTTTGCAAATCCACAGCACCCAACATTACTGTTGGCCAAGTTGAACAAGCTAACTCTGCACTTCCCCAGTTTAGCTTCATGAATTTCAATTGAACAAATAATTTCTTCTACTAATATAAATTTCTGTTCTTTTTAGCCAAAAGTCTTAATGTCAAAAAATGTATTTTAAATAATATCAAGGATAATACTTAAACTAGGACCATATGGGAATGCATTCCTACTTGTCCATTTCTCTAGTTCCTAAATGAAAACCCATGCTGACTAATACTCACTTGATACTGTCTGCGAAACTGAAGAGGCAGTTGTTGTGGTAGAAGTGGTAGAGGATGGCGTTGATGATGATGTTGAAGTAGACACTGCAGGTGCTGGGCTACTGGTCGTAGGGGTGGAAGCACCAACGGCTTGTGCTTGCACTTGCACTTGCGCCTGCACCTGGGCCTGAGCCTGGGCCTGGGCCTGGGCCTGAGCTTGTGCCTGGGCCTGGGCCTGAGCTTGTGCCTGGGCCTGGGCCTGGGCCTGAACCTGCGCCTGGGCTGCAAGCATAGGTGTCAGTTCTGACTGCTGAATAACCTTAACTCCATCTGGCTTGGTCCATGCAGATTCACGTGTCCGAGCATTATAATAATAAACCTGCAGAGGAAGCAAAATCATCAGTTTCAAAGAACATGTCAACTATCATTTATAAATAAGACAATTATATTTTGTCTTAAATAGTATTTTTTAAAAAACCTAGAAAAGAGAAAATACATCAAAATTGGCTATTCATATGAAATTATTGGTGATTTTTCACTTTCTCCTTTTCCCTCAATTTTCTATAAAGAGCATATTGTATTTTTAACACACATCAATAAAGGAGAACCAAGGCTATGTTTGTGCACAGTTAACACAGCAGATCTAAGACCACTATCCCTAGAAAGCCATTGTCCACCATTCCCTAACTGATAGGAATGGCTGAGCTATTTACACAAACAATGCAGTTTATGCTCTATACCTGCCTTCTTTCTGGAAGTCTGGAATTTCGTTAAGTGCAAGGCAGATGGTACCAGATATGGGACCAGTCCCCAATGAAAACCCTGATTCCTCAGCTCAGGACAGCGTCCCAGGCAGGCAACACTTTATCAGTGTTTTCACAATTCCATGGCACAGGAATTAAACACACTCATGAGACTCCAACTGAAAGGACTCTTGAAAGCTTGTGCTTGGTTTCCTCCAGACTACGCCCCATGCACCTTTTTTTTCTTTGCTGGTTTTGCTTTGTATCCTTTTTCTATAATTAGTCATAGCTGCAAATACAACTACCTGCTGAGTCCTGTGAGTTCTCCCAATAAACACTAAACTGAGGGCTGTTAGGGGACCTAAGGTGTGTATTTAAAAACACAGTTTTCAGAATCACAGGCAGACCTAGGAAAGTGCTCCAGCCACCTTATGTCTGTGCAGAAGTCCAATCAAGTGAACCTTTCCAGGAGTCCTGCCCTACCCTGGCTTGCTTGAGTTTCATTCTTAACTGGCAAGGATACAGTCATTGATCTCAATCTGCCAAACTCCCAGGTTTTACTCTTCTATCACCAAAAGATAACAACCTAAATACATTTCATAATTTACCTTCCCATCTGGAGTTTTATTTTCAACCCATATCTCCTCAGTAGGAGGCAGTGCTGGAGTACCAGGAGCAGTCACAGGAGGCATTCCTGGTGGAAACATCATACCAGGAGGAGGAGGCATGGTTCCCATGGGTGGAGGCATGAAAGGTGGTCTCTGTTAATTCACAAGAAGTAATGTCACTTGTGTTTATCTTTTTTCCTTCAAATTATTACTAAATTCTACCCAAAAGTAAGGCACTGTAAGAGAAATTAGCTTTATAGTCAATTCAAATACATTTACCTAGGTTGTTGTGTAAGCAAAGTTTTTCTGTAATAAAAATGATTACTAAACAGACTAGAAGAATGTCAAGATACCAACAACAGTCATCTCTGGGTTATAGAATTATAGGTGAATAATATAACATTATATTTGCTTTATTATTTATACTTTATATGTATTTATATTTTATATTTATATATATATTATTTATATTATTTAGTATTTATACCTTAACTGCTATTTCATATATTGGGCACTAGATTACTTTCAGAAGAAAAAAACTGATTCTCTTAACACCAGCCACCCAATGCCTCGACAGCTCACATACAACAAGAACCAACAAACTATAAGAGAAATGTTATTTTAAAAATAACAATAACTTAAAAAGAAAAATCAGATATACCTAACCTTTTATTCTCCTTTCCTATAAGAAAAAGATTATTAGCTAGGAAAACATTTATTTCCTAGTTTTCAAATAATAATGTAGCTCACCAAAGATGCTAACATTAGTAAGTTTAAACAATACAGTAAAATAATTATTCACTTTACTTTTGGGAAAAGAATTTAAATGGTATATATTACAATTAAAAAAAAAATCTCCTGAAACCATCACTGATTCAACACTATCCCTCATAATTCCTTCAATGATTGCTGACCCAACCCAAGATCCTGAACCAAAGAATTTAACTGTAACTGCGATATCTTACTCACTAAAGTAGAAAAAAGGTCTGCAATTCTGAAAACAGATTTTGAACAGGGATTAAAAGATTTCCTCTATAATCTACACATAACATTAGAACTTAATTATCCAAAGCATCCTAATCTGGATAATGGAATTGACACTATGCTAATAATGTGAAAGTTATTTTATTTTCCTAAAAAAGTTTTCTTTTCCATACTCGTTTTTCTAGATTCAGCTGACTGTCTTTCAAGCATCAATCAACACACAGGCCCATATTCTATAAAATGTCCATTCCAAATATATGCTACACAGTTGTCTGAAAATCATTTGGATTTATTGTAAAAATCACACAATGGTCTATCAAGACCAAAAAAAGCATCACATTAGGAAGTATCCCATCACAACATCTGATATATTTCCATTAGAGGGTTACACTAATCCATTACATTTTATAATATTCTACAAGAAGGTTTAACTCTTAAAGGCACAAAGTAGAGTAAATTCACATATAACAAGTTATACCACAGTCAACAAGTCAAAAAGTTACTTTGTATTCTAATTCTAAAGAAAATATAAAACAATTTAACAGTTTGTTTAAGAGGGCTGGGAGGAAAGGAGGGACAGGCTGTTCTTCTAGGAAGCCAACAAAATAACTAAGCAAAGTACTAAAATCTGGTATTTCTGCCATAAATATAATTCTATCAGAGCTAACATCACTTAAATAATACCTCATTATCTCTATTTTTAGTAAGTTCATTTTTGATTATCTAAGCTAACAGAAGGCAGATGATACTACTGTATTTGGTTTCAGAACTGTACAGGCTAAATAAACAGAAAACTCAGAAACAGTCAAAAAGAATATAATCTCAAAAGTAGGTATTTGAGAGTTGATACCTTCATAACTTCACTAAAAAGGGATATATGCTTCAGGTTAAAACACTAGGAAAATTTTCATTTAAGGAAATTTCACAGAAATTCTACTTCTAAAACTGTGACACACTCATATTTTTTTCCTGGGGAAGGAAAAAAATCCAAATACTGTGCTTACAAAATGTGCTTACTGTCACATTCTAGGTTCTACTCTAGGGATCATTCCTGGAAAGAATTCTTCAGGAATATATAGATATATATAGATACATTTAAACTCACTAGTAACATGTATCATTGAAAACAAACTTCCCTCACTTTACACATTAGCTTTCAAATATCATTTCCCATAAAGAAGATTATTACAGACAATTGTCAGAGATGAAGGCAAGTTAGAACTACCTTATTCAATCCTTATACATACTTTTTCATCACCATATAAATTTCCATTCTGAATTTCCATACTAATTATCATTATCAGTGCTTCTGAAGCAACACATTAGTATAAAGATGTTCTCTTTAGTTCTCATTCTCCTATAAACCCAAGAATACAAGTTTTAAAACCAAACTCATCTATATACTACTGACACTAACGCCAACAAAGAAACAGCTATCTCTACATTCTTTACCTGAAGGTGTGGAGGGCCCATAGGTGGAGGAATCCCTCCTGGAGGAGGCATTGGTGGCATATTAGGATCAAAAGGGGGACGTCCAAATGGGGGCCGAGGTGGAGGAGGAGGGCCTCGCATCATACCAAAAGGTGGAGGAGGTCGCATCAGAGGTGGTGGGCCTCGCATCACTGCATTTGGCGGGGGAGCTGGGCCTCGGAACCTCAAGGCCTGCTGTTGAGCCATCCTGTATGGGAAACCAATGAATAAAATGTTCTTTCTCAAAGTAACAAAAATATAGCTACTAAACTCTGATTACATCAAATTTTTAAAGCCCTTAAGAGCAAACAGAGTTGGAAAATCATCATTTTGTTATCACTGTAGCAGAGTGCATCAGCAAGAATGATCAATGGACACCAAATCTAGGAGGAAATGAGGGGGTTATTTGCATGGTCTTAATATACTGGGTGTTCATTGGAAGGACTGATGCTGAAGCTGAAACTCCAACACTTCGGCCACCTCAAGCGAAGAGTTGACTCACTGGAAAAGACCCTGATGCTGGGAGGGATTAGGGGCAGGAGGAGAAGGGAACGACAGAGGATGAGATGGCTGGATGGCATCACCGAGTTTGAGTAAACTCCGGGAGTTGGTGATGGACAGGGAGGCCTGGCGTGCTGCGATTCATGGGGTCGCAAAGAGTCGGACACAACTGAGCGACTGAACTGAACTGAATATATCTTCCCACATGTTTCTTACAATAGAAAGAAGGCTAAACAAAACACTATGCAATAGAGAAACTGATCTAATGCGACTGAGAGGGACACAATACCACCTATTCCAAGCAAGAATGTTTAACCTCAATATAATAATAAGGAGTTATTAGACAAACACAAAATAATGTTCTATTACAAAGGGGGGAGCAGAGGGTATATTCTTCAGAAGTGCTGTTATAAAAAGAAGAAAAAAGGAAGGTTGTGGAAATGTTCTAGATTAAAGGAGGCCAAACAGACATGACAATACAGCTGCAACTCTAGACAGGATACAAAACTAGAGGGAAGGAATACAGTAAAGGACATACCACAGTAACAGACAACACTGGAGCAAAAACAGACAACACTGGAGCAAAGACAAAAATTGCTGTATCAGTGCAAAGTTACAAAGAGGGTGACCGTGCTGTCCGTCAGAGAGGATCACTATTCTCAGAAAATAAGCACTCAAGCATTTAGAGGTAAAGGGCCATGGAGTGTGTGGCCCTTCACCACAAATGGTTCAGAGTAATAGAGAGCACGTATGTGACCAAGCAACAAAGCAGAACAGGTAAAATATTAACATTAAGCACGCTATTTTTGTTTTTGACACTTTTTGGAACCTTGAAACTACTTCTAAATACAAGGTTTTTATAGCAGGGGAGGCTAACAGCTTAAGACATAATTAGCATTCTCATATAGAAGGAAATGCCCTTCTGTACACTGCACCCCACCCCACTCTTCAATCTCTAGCTAAACACCTTTTATTTTCTCCATGGCATTCAAGCAGATAAGCAATATCACAAGATATTCTCTATCTCCTAAGTGCTTTTAAAAAAAAAAGTTTTAACTCTTACAAGTGCTTACTGGGCTTTCCAAGTGGTGCTAGTGGTAAAGAACCAGCCTGCCAATGCAGGAGACATAAAAGATCTGGGTCAAAAAGATCCCCTGATGGAGGAAGTGCTCCAGTATCCTTGCCTGGAGAATCCCATTGACAGAACAGCATGACCTGCTACAGTCCACAGGGTCACAAAAGAGTCAGACACAACTGAAGCAACTTAGTATTCACGCAATCAACGTAACCCTGAAATAGATTTTATCAACCTCATTTTACAGATTAAGGCACACAAAAGTAAAACAACTTGTCCAAGGCCACACAACTGGTTCAGAATTCAAACACAGGCAAAAGGCTCTTACATACTACACCATGCTCTCTATGTAAGCCCCTTTAGAGCAAGAATTGTCTGTCCTGTTCACCTTTATATCCCCAGCACACAGTTATTTATGCCTGCCCACAGTAGGGCTCAGTAAATATTTGCTGAATGAACCAATGAATATGTAGGTGATACTGTACCTTATAAATAGGGTATGGAGAATCTTATAAAAATCTTTACTATAATTTGCCATAGTCAATTTACTGAGCACCTATCACAGTCTACCCAGTAGCTACAATAATTCTCTTCATTATAAACATGAAATTTACATTCCAGTGCTCAGGAGAAGATTAACAATTATATCCTCATGTGCATCTGATAATCATTCTGACACTCGCCTCACCAGATTCTTCCAACTTTCCTACATTTTTCAACCCTGTGCTTAAGACTACCCTTTCAACTTCCTCTAAATTTTCCACATTGTAGTTCAATTCTGACATTTAAAAAATCCTAATAAAAGAACCAATTTGCCTTCTAGGAGAGCACTAGGATTGTAAACAAATCCAGAACTACTATACCAAACATATTTCACCAAATCTGCAAATCATCCTACACTCAATGGTAGAAGTATGAGTTAAAAGCAGTGACTGCAGAAATAATCAGCCTTTTTCAAATTATACACACTCCCAAAAGGCTGATGTCACTGTTACCGAAGCAATGTCTTAACCTTTGGGACAGGAAAAATCTTCACCAAGGAAAGATATTCCATTTCAGCCTTCAGCTACACATTATTTCTTTCTTTTGAATTTCACACTTTCTAGCTATCACTTGAAGTTAAGTATTTTAGGCTCTAAAACCATGGACAGGGCTCTGCCTTCTGTTTCAGGCTTCTCACATATTTTCCAAGTCTGAACATACTCAGATGTAAGTGAGGGGCAGTGGGGACAGAAATGAAACCTCTCTTTCTCTCTGTTCAATAAAATAATCCCCGTGAAACATTTAGGATGGTACCTGGAACACAGTGAACTATTTTAACCATCATTACTTTCATTCTGCCACAAAACCTAGCATAGTGCTCTACCTGAAAAGCTAGATGCTTTCAAATGTCTGCAGTGAAAATGGTAGCAAAATTCACATAATTTCCTCTATCGACAGCCTCAAGTCACCATTTTCTTATGTCAGATATGTACAGTACATGTGCTGAGCTCTATATGCACTTTATCACAACCTTACCTGCAGTGAGGGTTAAAGAAGCTAATGAAGTACTTGGAACAGTGCTCAGCACGTAAATATTAGTTATTATTGCTGCTACTACAACATCAGTATAGTAACGGTAGTAATCAAAACCATAATCTAGTGACTACTAAAATTACCTTGTTAAATGGTATTAATATTAGTAGCAGTGTTAATATTATTATAATCATTATTAGCAGGCTCTATATAACCTGGCCCTTGCTGATCTCTCTACGGACGCTAGCCCTTTGACCAACTACTTCATTCCCCTGAAGCCTCTGCATTTGCCCCCTCTGCCTGGCGTGCTTTCCCCGGAGAGTCATGTAACAGACTCTCCCATTCTTCAGTTTAAGTGCCAAGTTCTTTCCCACCTTAGTCTCTCCCACCTCCTTTCTATCTCACTACCCAATCTGAGTTTACAACTATAAGGTAAATGCCATGAAAAAAATCTCACTTATTTAGCCTTGTATTACCTATACTCACTATTATTTTCTCTTTAGTATAGTGATGCCTCCCAGAGCCCAGAAGGCAGGTGTTCAATTACTGTTTTAATGAGAGTGAACCCCAGGTATTTCTTCTATACCAGGCACAGTTACAGGGACATTGTCTGTATTAAATCTTTCAATCATCACAAAAACTCAATGAGATAAGTTCAGCACCGTTTTTACAGAGGAAACCATAGCACAGAAAAAGAACTTGTTTCATGTTAGTCAGTGGTAACACCAGAGTATTCTTATTCCCAGTGTACAGTTGAGGAAATTCAGACAAGTACCTTGTCATAAGTCATAAAGCATTAATAAGTAAATAAGGGCCCTGGGTAAAGTATCTATACCAACATGACTCTAAAAGTTATCTTAATGATCCTTAATCATAAAGATATAGAAAGTATTTGGATCTCCAAATAAATCCTATTGTAGATTATTTGCATTCCTACCACTTTGGATCTTTATGAAAATAGAAGCGTACAAGCATGAACAGAAATGAAGAAATTTTTTTTTACAAGAACAAATGTATTTCCCTAGAAGTACAATATCTAGATATGCAATCTTCCCAATGGTAAGGACTGCAAATACTTTAGCACAACAGAGCAAAAATTTTTAAATACTGATATATGGGAGGCAAATTATAAAGTAGACTAAATGAAGAGACATGGGTTTTAATCCAGACCCTGCCAATAACTCAGTGACCTTGTGTAAGTCTCTTCACACTTGTAGGCTGATTTCCTCATCTGATGTCCTTTTTGAAATTTAGATCAATCTTAATTAGCATGGAAGCTCCTGGAGGACAAAGGATTTTGGTCCGGTTCAAGACTACTGCCAGCACCTAGATCAGTGACTCTCAAATAGCACACAATAAAAGTGAGTACAATAAACAGACAATCTCTAAAATCTCCTATAACAATTTATTTACAATATACATACCTGAAAACCTTATTCGTGAGGCACTATGATGGTGACACACCATGATGTATATTCAGAATACAAACACAAAAAATTAAGCCCCAATTTCTGTAATCAGAGGACACAAAAAACTAATTCCTCTTAAACCATGAGAAATGCTAAAATAAAAGTCTGTACCAACATGCTGTGGAAGGAATTTCCAACCCCAAACGTTAAGGTATGAAACATTTGCAACAGAACACCTAATTTAAAGCACTATTCAAATCAGTTTTGCAGCAGTGTCTTCACTTACTATTAATAAAATCTAAAAGGCTACTCACTGTAAAACTGAAGAAAGATACTCTCTTAAATGCAAAGTAATGTTTCCAAATCAATCCATAAGACTAGCTTAAGTACCTCTTGAGATCAGAATCAGGAATAACCCTTTCATCACTAATACTAAACGACCCTGGCAATGGACTCTGATCACTTATTATTGAAGTATATACATGGGGTTTAAAAGATTTAAGATCCATCCCTGAAATAAGACTTTATTTCTGCCAAACTAAAAATTTTTGTGACAACTCATCATCTCAAAGACTTGGTTCTCCCCCCACCCCCCGCCCCGAAAACTTTAGTAACAATACCCAGTTTCCTTATACAATTTTATCTGGAGCTCTAGACAACGCTAGAATCCTCATAACTTATTCTACTCTTCCTCATTCTCAAAGGATGACAATGGTACAATTCAGAATGGGGGCTAAACATCTGAAATGCCATTTTTTTTCCATCCAAGCAGACGTAAAGCTCAGTACCTCGTTTTCCTTAAAAATCACTAAGGATTTTTCTCTCCAAGACAATTAAAAATTCCAGAGGCTGCCCAGAAACCAGGGCGAGAAAGGTCACTGCTGCCGTCCTTAGGGACACGGCGTGGGCAGACGACTAGAAGGGAGAAGGATAGAAATGCAGGCTCCTAAGCCTGGCTGCCTGCGTTCAAGCCACTTCCTGAAGCCAAGATTCTACCAAAGACACCTGGCTCTACGTCAGTTTCCTCACCTGAAGGATGGGCAAGTCACTTAACCGAAGGTGGCTGTTGCTCCCGGGGCCTGCAAAACGAGAAGAGCAACTACTCCAAAAGGTGGGTATGAGGATCAAAAGAGAAAACACTAAGGAAAGGGCTCTCTGGCTCTCGGAAGCACGAAACAAATGACTGCCGCTATTGTTACTACTCATAAACTCGGGATAAGGGATCAAACGATGAGAAAGGGAGGCCGCGTGAAGTTAAAGGAAAGCAAGCGACGTAGGCAAAAAGGAACCAGGCGGACGCAGGGACACCAAAAGGCGGCGGAGGGCGTGAAGAAGGCCGAGCCAGGGCGCCGAGGAGTCGCCCGCGGCATGGAGGGCTTCAGGGAGGAAAACTGGGCCCGCGGCGGCGCCGAGCCGGGAGTCAGGCTGAGGGCCGCCCAAGTGGAGGCGGACTGCGTCTGAGGCGGGGCCCCAAAGCGGGAACCCCTGGCCCAGCCTGTGTGCCGCAAGCTGCAAAGGGCGCCGGGGCCCCACAAAAACGGAAATGAGCGCCCCGAGAACCCACAGGAGGCCGCGGCCGAGACCCGGCCCGGCTCCCTCATTCAAGCCGCCTTCCCTTCCCCCTTCTCCAACCCCATGCGGTCCCGGCTCTTAGCCGCCGCGCCTCCTCAGCCCACCCTCCACCTCGGCTCTCCGCGCAACAGGCTTAGCCCCTGGGACGCCGGAGTGCCGAGATGTAAGGCGGAGCAGCGCCCTTACCTGAGCTCCCCGGGGTTGAATCGCTCACCGTCTCCCCCGTCCCCGCCACGCTCCGCCATTACAGAGGGCCGCTTTCATCCACCCGCCGACTGGGCGTCCCCTATTGGCCGGATGGATCGTCAATCCCGCGCGAGAGAGGCGTTGATAGCGGAGATCTGTGAGGTGATTGGTGAAACTCTCCATCAATCCCCAACCTGAGGGTGGTGTCTGCCTTATTATTGGTGAAAGGGCCCGCCGACTTTAAAAGCGGTATGGAGACAGTCAGTTTATTGGTCGCTCAGAGTCTTTATGGGAAAACGAGACTTTAGCAACAAGGAGCCGCCGGCGCCCTCTCGAGGTAAGCGAAACTAGGTCCTCCCACGTACGGCTAGGCCTGCGGTAGCCACGTGTCTGTCGGCTTCCAGCAAAGCCAATTGTGGGGCCATATTGTCCTCGTACCGGTCATATTGGCTGAGGCTTTGACCAGGTCTGTTGAGTGAGCCAATCAAAAATCGACCTGGGTCGCCGGTAAAACCAATCACAGAGTTGTAGAAAAGAGCTATTTCCCAGATTTTTAGTATCTAGAGTCCTCAGGGGCCACCAGTTTATACCCGTGTTACTAAATGATACATTACTAACCACAAGAATACCTGTTAAATTGTATTCAATAACTAGTTGCAGGCTGATGAGCGTTACAAATTGCTCTATTAAGTTGGGGGAAGGAAATGTCTTGGCAATTTATAATTTAAACCATACGTCCTTCAATTTTAAAGTATACTTGTGTAAAATTAGCTTACCCTAATACCTAGGAGGAATTCTGAATATTTATTAAACTTTTTATTAAAAACAAAAACCTTCGAATACTGGGGTTTCAAAGGCACGATACAGAGGAATTCCACCATTAAGGAACTCAAAATATTAAGCTAATGATAGAGATTTTTTTTACTCAGACCTAGGGACTTTCCAGGTGGCACAGTGGTAAAGAATCTGCCTGGCAGTGCAGAAAATAAAGAGACACGGGTTCAATCCCTGAGTCAGGAAGATACCCTGAGGCAGGAAATAGATCCCACTCCAGTATTCTTGCCTGGAAAATTCCATGGACAGAGGAGCCTGGAGGGCTACAGTCCTTGGGGTTGCAAAAGAGTGAGACAGGACTTAAAGAGTAAACAACAACAAACCGGCTACACCAATCACTGTCCTAATTACTTTCCATGTATTATCTGTTTTAGGCCTCCTTTTAAAAAGGCCTTTTAGGATTTGAGTACTATGACCAGCCACAGTTTATAGATGAAACTGAGACACAGAGAAGTAACTTGTCCAAGTTTACACAGCTAATAAATGGCAGAACCGGGCCTTAAACCTGAGATAGTATGGCAGCAAAGCCTCACTGCTAAACACCGTCATCTGAGAAAAACTGAAAACATATATGTACACAAAAACTTGTACACCAATATTCATAGCAGCATAATTCATAATAGCCAATATGTCTGAACAACTGATGAATTGATTTAAAGACGTGGTATATCTATACTTGGAGAAGGAAATGGCAACCCACTCCAGTACTCTTGCCTGGAAAATTTCATGGACTGAGGAGCCTGGTAGGCTACAGTCCATGGGGTTGCAAAGATAATTGGACACGACTGAGCAACTTCACTTTCCTTCATATCTATACAAAGGAACATTATTAAGTCATAAAGAGAATTAAGTACCAATACATGCTACAACATGGATGAACCCTGAAAACATTATGCTAGGTGAAAGAAGCCAGACACCAAAGGCTACATAGTATATGATTCCATTTAATGAAATATCCAGAATAGGCAAATCCATAGAGACAGAAAGTAGATTTTCAGGAGGCAGGAGTGACTGCTAATTGGTACAGGATTTCCTTTTGGATGATGAAAATGTTCTGAAATTACACAGTGGTGATGATTGTACAATTTGGTGAACATACTAAAACCTATTGAATTTTGTACTTTAAAGGATGGATTTTATTGTATGTGAATTATAGTATTTCAATAAATACCATGCTATACTGAATCCTAGTTAAATACTCAAAATTAATGAAGTATGATAAAATGTGATAAGACCCAAACACAATTCTGATCATAAAATTTGGAGAATAGAAGTATGGTTAAAGTTTCACTAAATACGTAACATTTAAACAAAATGGAGCTTGAATGAGAATGAATGGTTAGATCCCCATTTTCAACATCAGCAAACTCCAAATCCTGGCAAACTATTCTGAAAATAATACTTGTACGGATGACCCATGACAGACTAATCCCCACTGCTGGGGGGCAGGGGCAAGGGGACAGTCCTCAAAATAGATACCTCATAGAGAGACAGTCACTGGCATTAATAAAAGATGAAAACAAACTGTCAATTTGAATGAATGGAAGAAACTCCTTGGGGAGGGGGCAGATTGACAGCAACTGAATTACAGATCCTAAAACTTAGTATATCAAAGTGAAGTAAGAGACAGTGTTGGCTTAAGACTAATTAATATCATCAGGGCTCTAAGTCCTGGCTATGAAGTCTGATTTTGAATTCAGAAGATAATTCATTTGTCCATTTGGCAAACCCATTCATTTGCCCATCTGACAAACATGTCATGAACACCTATTGTGTGCCAGGGATTATCATGGTTGCTAAAGACACTGTCCATGGAGTACATAGTCTAGAAGGGAAAGCAGATAAGCCAAATATAAGACAGTAAAAATTGCTGTAACTGACCATGATGAGACTTTTAGCTAAGACAATGACAGCAAGACTGGAGAAGAGGGGACAGGTTCAGGAGCCATTTTTTTTTCCAATTAGAAGTTCATTTAATTCAAGTTGGTCAAAGATCAGAGAGATGAAATGTTGCAAATATATCAATGATAAGCTCTAAACAAATGGTCAAGTATAATTGTGAATTTGTAATCTTTTGTAGATTCATCCTTATTACATGTAAGTCTAAAAATAGATAGAACTTTTCAGAAAAATATTTTCTAAACAGAACGGAATCACCACAAGGAGGTCACAGATATGATAGCAAAAAAAAAGACTTTAGAAACTTTTAATTATTTGTTCACTTTTCTGCAAACATTTTTGTGGGTAACCCTTGTTTGAAATCCACTGTCCCTGGTGGCTCAGATGGTAAAAAAAAAAAAACAAAAAAAAAAAAACCTACCTGCAGTGCAGGAGATTCAGGTTCAACCCCTGGGTCGGCAAGATCCCCTGGAGGAGGAAATGGCAACCCACTCCAGTATTCTTGCCTGCAGAATTCCATGGACAAGGATCACTGCAACTTCTCTGTCCTAACCTGTCTAGGTTTGAATCCTGGATCCACCTTTTACCAGCTGTGTAATTTGGGACAATTTATTTCCAGTCTTTGTGCCTAAGTTTCCTCTTTCTTGAAATGGAAATAATAAGTACATCTCCACAAAGAGTTTATGTGAGGGTTAGATGAATGTAAGCCCATTTAAAATGTTTAGAACAGGGCTTAGAGTAAGTGCTCAATAAACATTAGCCATTACCATTTTTATAAATATACTTTTTATTCTTATTATTTGATCTCTTCTTACTGTCTTTCTTAGGTGTCCATGTCTGAATCTTTGTCTCTGTTTTACCTGGTTCTCTCTGTTGCTTAAACTGCTCCAATTTTCTCATTTGTTATCTAAATTCACTTAGCTAAGTAATAAACAGGGCCTTCCCAGGTGACTCAGCGGTAAAGAATCCACCTGGGTCAGGAAGATCCCCTGGAGAAGAAAATGGCAAACCACACCAGTCCTCTTGCATGGGAAATCCCTGGACAGAGGAGCCTGGTGGGCTATAAGCTATAGAGTCACAAAGACTAAGCGACTAAAGAACAACAACAAAGTAATAAATACAAACTATTAGTCTGATGTCCAATTCATAATACATATGTCTGGTAAAAATAACCAATATAAATTGAAACTGAAAATCCCTGCCATTGCATGTGGTTAAAGGTCGTTTTGACCAAAACTTTACTGAAGATCAAATCTTAAAGTGCAAATCTGTAAAATTTGACCAAGGAATCTTAGACCTGGTAGAAATAATAGTCATTGAAGAAACCTCACACAAACAATATAAGTGGTAAAATCTGATGCAGACAGAACTGCTGGATGACTCAATTCTTCACTTTGAAAAATTCTGTAAATTTATTTTTTCATTTCACTTTGGAATTTAAATGGAGAATTAATTCTGTCAAAAATAACTTCAGTAAATTAAAAAAAAACCTAATAGTGAAGCAAATGGAAAAATCTTATCTAATATAGAAAACTATTCCAGAAATGTATTGGTGTTTGGGGGTGATTATTTATTGGAGTTTATTATACACTGGATTTTTCTTCCTGACAATGCTTTTTCGATGAACATATAACAGTGTTGGTATAATTTTGATTCAATGTCAAAATGCCATTAGGAGAACTTCCCTGGTGGCCCATAGCTAAGACTCCATGTTCCCAATGCAGGGGGCTTGGGTTCCATCCCTGATCAGAGAACTAGAGCCTGAGTGCTGAAACAAAAAGATCCTGAATGCCCCAACTAAGGATTCCATGTGCCCCAACTAAAGACTGAAGATCCAGCATGCTGCAGCTATGAACAGCACCACTAAATAAATAAATAAAATGCCATTGGCATCCAAAGAATTAGGGTCAGGATGATCAAAGAATTAGGATCAAAGGGCATGTGTGTGTGTATTCAGGTGCACATGTGTGTACAAGAGAGGTTTGGGAAAAGCAAAAGGTAACGTGGCCTCCTAATGAGAACACATGTCGAATATCCCCCATGCTATGAGTAATCTCCTGTTAACCTAACTGATGGGCCAGAGATACAGTAGTGCACAGGCATCAGGGTCAGGTAGACTTGGGTTGAAAGAGGGTTCCAGCAGTCACAAGCTGTCACCCTGCAAAAGTCACCACCTCCCAAGCTTCAGCGTCCTCCTCTGAAAGAATGAATGTCAACAGTACTAACCTTGTGAGTGTTATCAGGAGGACCCCCTGAGACAATGCCCCTGGCAGGCCCCTGACTCACAGCCTTGCTCTCAGAATGGATGCTAGCCACCATTATTTGT